TATAAATTTGTCATTTGCCATTTATCTTTTATCCACAATCTCAATTAATTTTTCATTTAAATTTCATTCTGAAAATTATCATATGTGTTTGTACTTATATGCTTATTCTTTGCTGTTTTGTCATCTTATACTTCAAAAGTTGATTTGTCTTTTCACCATAATAGTGTTTTGTCTACAAACATTTATGTTTGATTTCATTCATCAATCAACCAGTTGATTCTCCTCCTACTTGTATTTTGTAAGTCGGCATATTTTCTTTCTAGTTTTGATCTTCTTACCAACATTCGTTAAGATTTTTGAATTTGATTTTAAATTTAACTGTCCCTTTTCTTAAAATTGTGCTCCATATGTAGTTACTTTGATTTTTTCAATTTCAAATAAGATTCTTTGTATATTCATTATTTTCTCATTTGTACTAGCATGTTATCATCAATTTGAACTTATTTGCAATATTTTTTATTCCACTTTGAAGAATTAATATTAGTAGAACTTGAACATTTTGTCACATCCACATTTTTCATGTTTATTCATTTTATCTAATTTTTGCGTTATTACGGGGTAGCAAATCAAAATATATATACTATTACTTAATATGTGAACTGATGTAATTGTTTAATGTTTTGATTGACATAAAAATTTAAATCCAAGTATATTTTTAGACTATGTGTTGTCTACCTACTTGTAATACAAACATCCTATTGATCAACAATCTATTACTTGATTTACGACTAGAATAAATTTGAAATATCTATGTGATTATGTTCTATATAAAAAACTTACAAAAGTAGAATTATTTCAAGACAATCAAGCAATATATCCAACAAATATTTTGAGCACAAGATTTTTGTCATGTTTTTCTTTCCTCCACTTACCTTCTCTCAATCCCCACAATGGGGTATGAAAATCAAATATTTTTACACATAGAACCAAATGGAAGTTAAAATCATTATTTAAACTGTGCTTTGTGATTGATTATTGACAACTACTATTAAGGAAGAATCAAAATGAACATCAATGTGAAAAGTTTAATCGGCTTAAATGACAAAAGAGAATAAAAATTGGACAGTACTATCATGCTAGTCTTAAGTACTACAAGTAAAACTTGCATTTCAAACGCATTCACCTTTTCTTTTCTTCCGTATTTTTGTTAGGAATTAGACACAGAATTAATACCTTTCAAATAAACTTATTAATTTTTAACTCTTTCAAACTTTCTTTCAAAGTTTATTGATCACATGAAAAAAAGTGACTCCTATTTTGAATAGTTTCAATATCTAAATATCTTGTTTCAAACTTTACATCAAGTTTCATTTGATGTATCAAAGAATTAAATCCTAATTTGAAAAGCAAAAAAATTCAAATGATGAGCTTTACTCCAAATGCATTTTTAGGTTAGATTCAATAGACATATTAGATTCTCTCATTAATTTCAAGATATTGTTTCTTCTTTGCTTCTTTATTTTATCTTTTTCTTTGCATGAATTTCACAAAGATGTAGACAAAACATAGAAAAAAAAATCTTGCTAGAGTTATTTTGACAAAAAGATGATTTTTTTAATCCCTCTAATTAAGCTTTGAACTTTAAGGTTTAGGGTATGCAAAACTATACTAACATAAATACTTTTGTCCATGACATAGAATCTCACAAAACATATTATTCAACCTCGACATCTCACATCCATTTGTCTCATAAGTCACAAAGCTGTAACCTCTCACATCAGTCACACCCGCAAAGTCTTTATTTTGTGATTACAATAAAAAGCGTGATGTTGAAGAGTTTGTTTGCTAGACGGAGATAGCGACGGCCGCAGCGGAACCTCGCCCCTCCAAGCCTCTCGGCTAAGCTCTCTTCTGCCTCGAGGACGAGCTCGGCTTAGCAACTGGGTTTGAGGGGAGACGTGCTTTGACGCGCAATCAGTTCTTTGTATGTAGTGGGTGTGGCCGTAGCAAAAACGAGTGTGTCCCTAGTCCAGACTTACTAAAATCTGGCAAATGCCAGGTTTGCCAGAATAACGGTAATTCTGGCAGATTTTTCTCCTTAATTCTGGCAATTTTGGCACTAACACTAACTTCACTATTTTTTCTCCAAGCGGTTTGCTACAACAATTTTCAGCGTTTCAAATTGCTTAGCATGCATAATGCCTACCAAAGAAATACTTGTCAGCCTTGTGCGTGAGTCATCTTTCTCCCATTTAATAATGGAAAAATTGCTTTCAACTGAAGTAGTATTTGGAAAAGCAGTAGCTAGACCACCGCACAACTATCGCAAATGCAGAAAACGTTCATTTAAACAATCCCATGCCTCGTTGAAGAAAGTCTTCTCGTTGTGATTGTCAATGGTCTCTTTCACATTCAGCTCACGCTCGTAAACAAGTAGCAGGTCACTCCGCCTTGTCGATCATGTCAGTGCTCCAGTGCTTGCCCAAGTGTGCCCTGTATTGATCCACCACCTCGTTGATAAATAAAGCAGTACGTATCTTGACTAAATCTGCTGGCATCATAGGAGGTGCTTCCAATTCCTTGACATGATTGTTAGAACCACGTTCTGCCTTGATCTGCAAATCGTTTGCCACAATAGAGAGTGAAAAAGTACCTATCTACTCTAATGTCTGCTGTTGCTCAAATCCTGAAAGCTCATAATACAGATCCCTTGCCCACGAACTTTGATCTAATATATGCATGACAATAGAATTTTTGGTTACAAACAAACCATCTTGCTGAACAATTGTGATAGAATCAATTTCGTTCAACGCTGCATCTGTAGTAAAACGAATATCCAAACTATCTGCAATGTCTGTCATCGGCTTTGCTAACTCTTGGCGTTGCTGAGAGAAGATCAGCTTTGGAGATTGGATTGAGGAGATAGTGGCGGCAATCCGCTCAAACAATGGTGATAGAGCTCATGCAATGATCCACCATTGCATGGACGGGGCTTGGAAAGGTCGTCTATTCTCCACGTCAACCGACGACGATGTTCCAAAAGCCAACAGAGAATACTACCAAACGCCACCCATCGCGTTGTGTACTTTGGGCATTTGGAACCCATTTCGTTGATGAGATTTTGTTGAGCTCGAAGATGCACAGAAAAAGCATGAGCAAACTTATAAAACATCTCGTTCAACACACCATGCGTGGCATTTTTCACCACAATATCAAGCTGATGAGCAACGCACCAAATACGAAGCACAGGATTGGAACATTCCTTCTCAAGCAATGTGACAACTCTAGCGTGCCTACCTGTCATTGTGTTTTCTCCATCTGAACTGATTGAAATGATTTTGTCGCGCCAAGATGGACACACACTGTCAAGCATAGTTTGATGAGCTTGACATAGTTTTGAGCAGTATGGAGTTCAAAGAGTGGAACCAGCACCAGGTGGAAGTTGTACAACACGCCTTTCACGCACACACGAATTCGATGGTCAAGTACAGAAACTCCCAAATGTGTGCTTGCATCAGCCGCTAGAGAAAACGCCCAAATGTTTGGATCCATGAGTATATTGGAGATGATTTGCAGGGCGACGGCAAGGAGCACACGCACGAACTGACTCACCATATGATCGTTGAGGCCGTTCAATTTTGGATTCTTTGTCGCTACACGATGCTGTTCAATCACCTTGGCTATCTGCCTAAATGACAGTCCAACAAAAACATGTTGCATGGCAAGATTGAACTGCAAAGAGTTCTTGATCGTAACCAAGTATGATCCGTCTTGTTGCAGTTTGAACAACTTCATGGCGTTGGCCTTGGTGATTGGTTGGAATACATCGTCTTCTTCGTCTTCTTCCGGATGAAAAAACAAATTTCCCACCACAACATCAACTATCGGAGACTGAGAAATTACAAACTGAAGAGTGTACTTGTCTGTGTCTAGGTAACGGTGTATGCCTGATATATCTCTGGTCTTGAAGAAACTAACCTTTTCTTGATACGAAAGCAGTTGGTAACTGTTCCAATCTTCAGGATGCTGAGACTCCAAGTGATTTTTATAGGCTTCAAGAAGATACGGAAACTGAAATAGTTGCGTGTTCTTGGTTCTCTGTCGCTTCACATCTGCACCATCCCGTTTTTCACGACCGATATGGACGCAAAATAAACACTGAACTGTTGTGATGGTGCCCTGTACAGATCGTTGTACCGGTTGCAAACCAAACTCGACGCCATGTTTGACGAGTTTGCAATCCATCATGAGTTTTTCGACTCATGATGGATTGCAAAAGCTTCGATGTGACTTCGGTGCTTGCGTTCGAGACAAGAGAACTTCGGGAATGCATTCCTAACCTAAGATACTCCTTCCCGCTATCCACTCCCCGCCTCCCCTTGGATGCGTGCGAGATTCTCTACATTCTGACTTCCTACACCTCCCGCCTTATCCTTGTATTTTTTGTCGAAACTTCATTCAGGTGTCGACTAAGTGGGCTTGATTAATTCTGGCATATTTTCTAGATTAATTCTGGCAAATCTGGCGTCTAAAAATAAAACGCCAGATTTTAGGAACCCTGCCCTAATCCTCCCCAAATAGAAAATACATTGAACACTCTTAATAAGGCTATCCACTTTCATGACTCGTTTTTTGTGGTAACAACAATTGCTTATAGAATAAAATATATATTTTTTAGTTCTTGGATTTTCACTCAATAATATATTTTACTAGTACGTTAGATGAATCTTTCAACAATAGGCATGCTTGACTGCAAAATGTTGTTCTCTAAATTTAGATTCTTTTCTCATATATATTTTAAAGATGAAGATGATTCTGACTTTTCACTGCTAAACATGACAATCGTCGTGATTTTTGAGATGGCAGATGACTGAGTAATGCTTTGACCAAACTCTGAAAGTTAGAGAGATCAACAAGTTTGAAATTTGGAGGTACAAAACAAGACCTTGGAGAGTTTCACAGTATCGCGTATGAAATTAACATTTTGTGACGATTGCAGAAACTTTCACATACGATCCGCATTACCGTAGGGCGTTTCAAACACAGTAAACAGACTTGATCGCAGTGAAAACCACAAGACATTTCAATTAAAGAGCGAACTGTACATGGAACTTTCGAGTCAGACGTTGGGAACAGTACATGTACTGTTCCTTATGTCTGAAGCGTTATGAGATCTACATACTCCTTTGAGATCAGAAGATTAGTAACAGGTTCTGCTCATAAGTAGTCCACATTAGGATCCTGCCTATGGAGTTGAATGAAAACAATGACAATCCTAGGAACAAATATAAAGTTTCAGACGCCGGCTAAGAGAGTAAAATTTGTTACCTTTCGATCTTTCACTAAATAATGAGATCAGAAAAAATTGCTCTGCTACTTACATGATGACGGGTGGGCCTACAAAACTGTCTGATCCTCTTAATGTTTGAGCTAAGACTTCTTCAGAAGGGACTTATTCCTTAAAGAGTGAATACGCAAGCAGAAGAAGATAAAGAATGGTAAAATACATGTGTTCAGTAATCCTTGAAATCTAAGATGGTAAATCTATTCCCCACATAGGTAAGGTTCCTGAAAGTAATTTGTTATTCTATGGGCGGGCGCGTGCAATCAACAAATTGACAACTAAATGCTCGTTTGTGAGCATTTAAGAAAGATTTACGGAATTATCATAACCTTCGGGGTGTAATTTTCTCCACTTCCAGGCAATTGCCAGGTTTTCTGTAAGGTTCACATGAGTTGCTGTCCAGTTGAGCTCCATCTTAATTTTTGCTGGATCACTGTAAACCTCAGCATAATCTCCAGCTCTTCTCCCCAGGTACTGTACATCAATCTTGACTCCTGTTGCTTTCTTGCAAGCCTCCACGAACTCTTGAACAGAAATTCCTGGCAATCGCAGTACGTACTCATCAGTATTTTCCTGTCATGGCCCGACGACCAAATACCATAGCACTGGCTAGGCAGTAAGTCAGCTAGGCACTGCCATCAGAATTAAGGGCGAGGAAAGAATAAGAAGAGAAGGGGAGGAAGAGAATTGAGAGAAATACCGGATGGTGAAAATTACAGTACTCAACAGTCAAAACCTGTATTGAAATCAATACTCAACAGAGCAGAAGTCTTGGGCTTTGAATCTTAACCTGAGGAGTTATAACACATTATCGGCTCTTGATATTGCAAGGACAACAAAGAAGGTAATTATTTCGTCAACTGTGTTGGGTAGCTGTTGTCAAAACATTGACAACGCCATATACGGATTTTCGTTATTTCATATCAAACGCCAAGATGTTTTATAAGTATTCAGTTACCTTTCCCAGTGCCGACATTATACACAGTAACAGCATTCATCTTGGCGTGATTTAAGGCTTTGACGTGTGCATCAACTAAATCAGTAACATGTATGTAGTCTCGAACACAAGTTCCATCTTTTGTCTCATAATCGTTTCCTTTCACCTGCATTCATAAAAATATACACCGCAGTCAAAAGACAAGTATTATTGAGGACACTGGTATCTCCACTCAACACAAGATCGTGCATCCAACCTTCAACTCAAAGAAATTCGTATCACTTTCTTTGTTTTATAAAATATAAGGGACTACAGTGGTTCTTACTTCTACGCTACGAAGTGAAATGAATTCGCATTTTTCTCTTACTCACACTTTTTACTATGACTAAAGTTCTTCACTTACCTGCAATCCTGGAATGATGCCCATGGCAGCATCAAAACAAGCTCCCGAGATACGACCGTGTGCTCTCAATTCTGGTCTCGGGGCTTCTCCTAATCTCCCCCGAGGATCAGACCCTATAACATTGAAGTATCTACAACCCACCCACCTTATATTGAGCATGGAATTCACTCGGAAAGACCCAAATATTCCTACTCACTATTCCGATCTTCATTACAAAAGCAGATATATGACAAGAGGCACCCCTTCGTTATCCAAAGAAGTATTGAACTACGCAAATGTGTCAACAGGTTGTCAAACAGTGATTACACTTGGGAGTGCCTGTTGGATAACTCTTACTTTCGAGTTAGCTATAACAAAACATCAATCAGATATACAGCCAAAATACAAGTCAAGATATAACTGAAGAAAGAACTCACCGCAATATCACAACTGCCAAGTCTGCATTCTTTACATTGACATAGTCCATTATGATTTCCTCCGCCATCTTCTTAGCCTTTCCATACGGGTTGATCGGCACCTACAGAAAACAGTGCCTATAACTTCAGATATGTCTGTCTGTGCTTACCAACTGTTAGATGGTTAACGGATCTGATTTGTGCGGGTAAGAGACATTATGATAAAAACACCAACAAACCAAGTGAAAATTGCAGGATGATCACCTGTGGAGTTGCTTCGGTGATGGGCATTTTTTTGGGTTCTCCATATGTGGCGCATGTGCTTGAGTATATCAATTTGGTCACTTTATGTTTAACCATAGCTTCTAAGATCCCAAGTGTATTGGACGTTATATTATGATAATACCTGCGATGTAAATACTTCCATTAAATTGCTGCACAACTTCGGAGATCGTAGAATACCTTATGAAACTCTCGTCATTAGTAATTGCAAGTCACTGCCTGAAAACCGTTGGTACTAGTATTAGCAAACATAATCACAGCTTGAATTCTTCCATCAACAAGCCTGTTTGCATGCAATATGATAAATCTGATGACTGTGATGATAACATCCATACTTAAATGTCTCCATAGCAAGTTCTCCACATAATTTTAGTCAAACTCTTTTCATTGAAGGTATCACTCCAGTAGAAACCAAAAACCGCATTCAGTTCATTGTGAGGCGAGGACGCAACAGCTATTCAGGAACTAATATATAGCACAATTTCTTCGACATTCCTAATGCAACTTGACTTCACTTACAAAATTGTTTGCATATTTTCCTACACTTCCGTACTCCAAGTTCACATATGGTAACTCGAATCCTGAGTCGTGAGAAACATTCTACAGATTGAACTTGAACATAAAGCACAGCCACTGATTTGAAGAAACTTACCTTAAAGGTTCTGCCATGCTCTCACCAACATATGCAACGGCTGCAAAATGCATTACAGCATCGATTGCATTTTTTGAGAAGATTTCATCTACCTGGAAAATTATGTTAAGGACGATTCTCTTGTCTCATATAACTGAATCGGGAACATTTAACACCACTGGATGTGAATATCGACGACTGAACTAAGAAGTGACGTATCAAGAGTTCGTCAAACTAACCATGTCTAATCTCCTGCTGACCTTACGACAGTCTTGACAAAGAAAGTATTTGAGAACAACACTCGATAGCACATCGATGGATTGCTCAATTTTCAATCTAGTTGCAAAGAAGACTGCACAAAAGTAGATACAGCTTTCGGATCTCCCAAGTCGGCATTGATGAACTGCAAGCGACCCACTCGGGGAAATAATGTCTTCAATGCATGCACTGCACCGAGATTACCTCTTGAGAGATTATCCTGTATTCCGAAATATCGCAGAAATCAGGAAAATAACGGACAAGTGTCAAGATCAATGGCAGGAATCTGTCATCATCTGGAAACAAGTACTCCCAAAAAAGAACGTCAAAATTTAAACAGCCAGTAATGAAATATGGAGTGGTACTTCTGTATTACTAAGAGAGCAAATCCTAGCTGAAAAGTCATCAAAGACATCAAAAGGTTCGAGTAAATTGAGAGGTTAGTAAAAACAGGGGAGATCTACTAGAATCACTCTGTTCTGAGCTCAAAACTGAAGAAACGTAAACCATGACGCAAGGGAAAGCTGACCAACCACAATGGTAACTCTATGCCCGTCCTCTAGAAGCCGCATTGTAGCATGAGATCCTATATACCCTGCTCCGCCTGTCACCAGCACGTGCGTTACTCCAACCTCCCGTTTGGTGAACTGCAATTGCAGTAAAAGATGCTTGTCTTGTCAGGCACAGATCGATCAGTGTCGTACTTCAATTCGATTCGTACAAGTCTACACATATGAATCTGTCTGGCCGTGAGGAAAGGCAAGTACTAACCATCTCAGAACCGGCAGATGAAGATGGCTGTCTTAATATGAACATGCATAGTGCCGTCAGGGAAGCGGCCACAAAGACCTTGACGACTAGTTGCGATCTCGGGCGCGGAACGCCGTAATCCATTCCTGATCAATAAAACCGAACAATTATAAGTATCCACGGAAATAATGCATGTACGAGGGAGACCATCCACTGAATTTCCTCTGGCACGAGTTTCGGACATAGATTACCCTCATCAGGTTCCGACATCTCCCCCTAGAAAATGCTTGGGGAAAGATGCCGCGAGACAGTACAGAATGTCCTGATCTTAAGATAATTCCTGTTGCAGACTGTCCATGAGAGGTATGTTTGGCACAGTTTCGGCTGATTATCATAGACTGCTCAAGATGTCGCTCTACGTTCTGGCTGCAGACAAAAGGAGTGCGTTGCACAAGCTCTGGACAGAATTTGGAGCACTCACAAACACTGCTCGGAAGGGGAACGGATTTTCGTACTCAACCTAACCGGCACTCCAAATTTAGAGTTTTAGCGCCAAGTATTAAGCCGTTGACATACAGTACAGTCAAAGGAGTCAGGAAACAACTGCCTGTGGACGATTAGCTCGTGAGAACGTGTCTGTTTATGATGCGATAAAAGTGCATTCAGCTCGGCAGGTACTCACCACTCGTCACTCAATTTCTTGTACAGTCCTGCTTGCAATGTCACAAAAGACCTTCTTCCAAAGTGCCCACACTTTCAACTTCCGCTGCTATTCATAGGTTTCGCAATCCACACACACACTTCGAGGTCAACGAAAACCTACAAATATGAGCGCAAGACAACGCAGAGGAGGCCAATCCAAGACATAGAAAGCTGGACCAGATGTGATGACAAAAGCTTTCCGTGCAAACGACAAAAAATGCTCCTCCTCACTGGGAGAAGAATTACCTGAAATATCGTCGGCTCCCCCCTGTCTGGGAGAAGATGTTCTTCGACGATGGTGCGGAGACCCAGGCATGAGAGCCTAGAGAGAACCGTCGAAGGCACGAAGCCTTCGACAGACGTACAACTTCTTAAACCTCGTTGACAGAAGATCCCTCAGAACCCCGGACTTGATCTTGCCAACAACGCGGGGTAAGTCCCGACGGAGACCTCTCGCCCGGTGTTATGCCCACCTGCGTCTCGCTCTCCGACAGCGCTGAGATTGGAGGCTGACACTTTCCCCAGACAGAGCTCCACGATGCGGCAGCAGAGGCAATGTTCGTGGTGCGTCTCCCAATCCGTCCAGTCTTCATTAACTGCCGAAGATCAACAATTTGGACGTGAGTAATGGGCACGACCTCCCACAGTCAGGACACCAGCATTTACCGAAGGCTATCCCTTCACTCAGACGGACAAAGAGGAGGGCGAAGTCGAAAGCTTCCACATCACACAATCGGCACAGGCTGACTTCACGCAAGAATCATTTGACAACTTTATGACGCTGAAAGAACTTTGGTTAAAGCTTGCCATCACCACACAACAGCGCGACAAACTCACTGCGAAAGAGACGTCATTATTCCAAGGCTAAAATTCTCTCTGTCATGCCCGCAGTACAACGACCCTTTACGTTGCCTCAGCAGATTCTTTGTGCCCTACGCGGCAAAGCCTTCCACGGAACAAATTCCCAGATCTCCACGCTCAAATTCACGATCTCCCGCCCCGCCACGAAAATATGCACTCGAATACTCTCTCTCCAAAAAATTCACGCATTATACAGCTGCGCTGCAGACTTCGCTACCTAGTCGAGATTCGGACTATGCTGCTCCCTGTCATGGGGAAGACCGTTCCGACGATTAAAATTTTCCTCCTCGGCAGCTCATCATATGATCAGTGCCGCTTACTGCCGATCATCTGCTTCTGCTGCTGCTGCTTGCTCGGGCTCCAAATTTCCTCCGTTCTGCAACACCTACAACTCGTCTCTCGGCCGAAGACACATCGCTCGTGAGCACCGAGCCCCGAGATTCTGATTTCTCGATCAGAAGAGGCCCAGAGCTTGCCTTCGTGCTCGAAATGTCGTCCACTTCATAGATTCTGTCTTTACCACATGGTCTCCTCCCTCGAGGGAAGTCTCCTCCTTCCCTTCCTTCCTGTCCAGCAGGAGAAGGAATCTAGAGCTATGGCGCTACACGACGCCATCATCACGTCCGTCGCGAACCACGTTCGATGTTTGCACCGCGACGTCTACTGTGGTCCGACGCGCTCTGTCGTACTCCGCTTTCCGCACCGTACAGTATGGGGCACAGCAGTCCTTCGCCTGCAGTATCTGCCGACCTCGTTGCCCGTCGCGACCTTCCCTGTGCCTGTGATGTGGAAATCTTCCAAGGATCTGCAACCACAGTCAGCGATCGATGGCAAATTGGGCTTCGATTTTTCTTCCGACGACATATCACTTCCCTGCCTGCGTTCCCCGTAAAATATATCTCCTTGAAGTTCCTTGCTTCACCTCGGGAACTAGACTTTGCGGCTATTTTCGAAGAGCTGCTCAACATCACCTCCAAAACCTTTAGATTTCTGCAGAATGTTCTTTGGCATCTTGCCTCGTTGGAGACAAATCCTCAATCATTGAAATCAAGCAAGTACTCCGGTTATTACTATCCGGACCGCCCAAAATCCAAAGTCGGGAACTCATCTGTATAACCGTGTAACTAATCACTCGATCGTCGACTCGTGTACACTCAGCTCCGAGGAATTCAAATGGGAGAGAGATGGTTTTTGGCAAGGAGTAGTACCGAATCAACTTTGAGACCATAGACAAGCAGACTGAGCCATAATGTATGAAATAATGTAACTGGAGCTTAAGAAACCCGCTTCTAGAATGTTGTTAGTACCGAATTCGATATGCTTCATATCTAATCATATATAAATGTGCCCATTTCATTTCGTCCTCTTGGACTTCGTTGGCAGCCACGAGCACACGACATATATACAGTACTGTTTCCGAAAAGTCTATTGAGATTGTCCCCGTTTGAGAACCTACGATTTCAAGAACCTCCAGCTGGTAGAAATCATCTCTTCAGATAACTGTACCGGTAGTCATGCAGACAAGAAGAAGTACAAAAGTAAAAAGGTTGGGAAGACCCCATCCAGCACATAAAGGTGAAACCGCAGGGAGCCATCCAATATTGAAAGTGGGCAGTTTAAAATAATTAAATATTTTGTTCATCTACTTATGAACACGTCATAACAGTTGAGATACTACACTGATATTAACTGATTGGAACAATAATATTTAAAAAAAACATTTGTATAAAACTCTATGTTACGATTTTTCACATGACAAACATCAAGAACACAATCAGACGAGGAAAAACGAGAATTCTAGAACTCCCACAACAAAATGCCGGAAGTGAAATGCGTAGTTCGCCACTTGGTACAAAGTACAGTAAAACACAGTTTGATTGTATTGGTGAAAACCTAAGAGTTTTTTTAAAAAATGCTTGTTTTACTTTATAGTGATAACATAATTTAAACACTAATTAAGATTAAACTAGCATACTTAGAAATAGATCTGAGTTAATTACTAAAAATCATAACTTTACCATATCATGTGGTGAGAATAATAAACTGCAAAATCTGTATAAGTACTTTGCAAAAAGTTCTAGAAAGAAACGTCACATAGACAAATTTACAAACAAGAACTAACTAGATTTAAATAGTAGTCAATACAATATAAAATGATACATATAGATATATACAGATAAATGTCAAAAAAATTGCTAGTAAATTTTATTTTAACATTACAAATTTGAAACTAATTCTACCTTTGTTTTTCATCTGAAACTTGCAAAGTAGTACAAAATTTTATAAAACCTTTAAAAGGTATAATTTTGATCAATACATCTGCAGCTGAATTGATTTCGTTGTCAATCTTTACTAGATCAATCTTTTAATCAGAAATTTTTTACAGTATACACTCGCTTAAGTACACAACTTGATCCGGGAGGTCTAGTGTGGACTTAACTAAGATGCGGACCTAAGTAAGATTAGAGGTAATACACATGAAGATTAGGGTTAGCACATATGAAACACAATTTCAAGTTCATTTGCAACGATGAGCATACGTGTGGTGAAACGCAAAGGTCAGGATTAATGTTTGAATGACCGTCAGAGAATGAAAAATATCACTGTATTGGAGCAATCCAAACCTCCGACTAATTGCAGCATTGCTCGTCAATACGGTGTCGACGAGAAATTTATTCGGAAATTGAAAGCAAGCAAAGATGAGATTTTTGAAAGAGTTCAGAGGGTTGACCATGCCACTCAAGAATCCACATTTTGCGTCTCGCATTCATCATTTTCTGAGCTTGAGAAATGATTGTACGAATGGATTGATGTTGGACGCTAAATGTCGCTTGTTTTGCCGCCTAGTCTCATCTGCCACAAAGCAAAACAAATTGCCGAGGCTATGGAGATATATGATGATAAGTTCAAGGCTTGCTGGTGATGGTTTTTAAGATTTTGTCATCGCTTTGATTTAATCGGCACAAATTTGTTTGGTGAAGGCGGTGAGGTTGACAAAAATAATTCTGAAACTCTACGAGCTTTAGATGATTTATGTGCAATTATCAACCAGTATGATCTAGCTTGCCTGTACAATATGTACAAAACTGGATTGTTCTTTTCACTTGTTCCAAGTTACATCGTCTTGATGCCAAATGAATATACGTCAACAGTTTGGGGCAAGAAAAAATCAAAAGATCGCGTGACTTTTGTGGTTTGTTGCAATGCCACAGGGACTGAACGAGTCCCAATCACCATGATCGATAATGCGAAGGAGCCCGCATGTATTTTAGGCAACATCTGGCCAATTCCATATCTTCAGCAAAAGAACGCTTGGATTGACGTGCCGACGTTCAACAAGTGATTGGATGAGATTTTTGAGACATATGTTCGTAAACGTACTGGTCACAAGGTTCTATTGATCCTTGATAACGCTCCTGATCACTCGACTGACTTTGAGCGGAATGGTATCGGTGTTGCGTTCTTTCCGCCAAATGTTACGTCGTGGAAGCAGCCGATGGACATATGCATCATTGCAGCACTGAAAAAGCAATACAAATATTTGCTGCTCAAAGAAATGATAGCCTATCACGATAATCTGCGAAGTTTGAAGGATCAATTGGCAATAGCTGCATCAAAGTTAAAGCGAGCGCTTGAGGGATGTTTTACGGAGGTTTTTCACATCTGCTTGACACTACAAACTTCAGTAACGTTGCCCGTAACAAAAATTTTGTTGAGAGTTTAAAAACTAGTTTAAAAAAGCAAATATTATCTCTGCATTCCAGAATGTTGACCTTGGCAACGACAATGATATAACCGTGGACGAAATTGCTCGTTTGCAGAGCAATTGTCATCTCTTGAGTGACAATCACGAAATTGACATTCATGGTGAAATTGAGCAATGTCTGATCGATGAGAACGATGATTCAGAGCTATTCAAAAATACTCTTCTTGAAGAGATCAAACAAGCAATGGGTATCGTCCTTGTTCAAGAGTCTGTCATCGAATCCGAAGACAATGAACCCGAACTAACCTCGGCTCACAACGACATTGATATGCCCGATGTTATACTTCAGTCTTTTGAGAATGCAATCAATATCGATGTCAATATGAATGACCTGAAATCTTTGCCATATTTGTCATCGGACCATATAAATCAGGCCAAGGCAGCATTATTCACAGTCCTTAACATTTTAAAAAACTTGACGATCTGCGATAACCTCGGGAGCGAATTGAAAATAGCCGCCAAATGACTCTATTTGATTTTCTGTAAAATACACTCCTGAGAATTGATTCATGAATTTTGCGTTGTGAAGTGCATACTTAATTGGGATGCGGACTTAACATTTTAAAAAACTTGACGATCCGCGATAACCTCGGGAGCGAATTGAAAATAGCCGCCAAATGACTCTATTTGATTTTCTGTAAAATACACTCTTGAGAATTGATTCATGAATTTTGCGTTGTGAAGTGCATACTTAATTGGGATGCGGACTTAAATGAATGCAGACTTAAGCTAATGTATACTATATTTGTTGAAATAATAACTAATGTTGATGTGTTTCACTCTATCATCTACTAATTGATTTATAACAAGATTTTTTATAATATAACTCATTCTGATTATCATAATAAAGATTCAAAACCTTATATTTCAAATCAATTTTATAATTCTTTTCAATCATATAGATTTTTCTGCTATTAGCGCTAAATATTTAGCACTAATAGCAAAAAAATCTATATCCAATGGAAGCAAAATATTTAACCTCCATTGGAATTTGAATTACATGTATCCACAAAGTAGATTTTGAACTAATCACTCACCACGAAATTTAAACACGTACCCAATTGTAAAAAGTCAGATTTTGATCATAATCAATATCAATACAATCTAGCACAACTTTGGCATTGTTAAATAAGTCATCAAACAAAAACCCATAATGCTTAGTATTCAAAAGTTCTTTGGAATTCATTACAGTGGTATTTTAATATAAATTTCTTGGATTTGATATGTATTTTCTTAACATCATCATTATCAAAGCAATATCATGAATTTTGCATACCATCAAATACATAAGCCTATATGCAATAAAATATAGAAATTTTTCATAGAATTTCATGACATTTTTTACTTTTTAAAATCATTAATGAGAGATAAGATTTAAAAAATTTTGAATGTATTGCAAAAAGATACATACTACTTTCTTATTTATCATATTAAAATTTTCAAGCATCCATTGAATGTATTTGCCTTAACTCAATTAAAGTATTTTCTTATTCAAATTTTTACAAACAAATATACTTTTAATTTTGTATAATTCTTTCATCTTAAACTTAAACTTTATTTGATTTTTGCATTTGTCAAAGTTGGATTAATTTTTTGTCAAAATGTGCTTTTTATTCACTTAAAATATTAGAATAGAGGCATTAAAGGTCTCATTATTCAAGTCTATATGTGAATTTACAATACAATGATATATTTAAATAATAAAAGCTTCAATCTCATGTACAATACACTTTTTGAAAGTTAAGTTAACTCTAGTATATAATATTTTGTTAGACTTTTTACGTCTTTATGATTTAATCAAACATGATATATTATTGACAATAAGTTTTTTTTTCAATTCATATAATCATTTCACCAAGCTACAAAACTTATTTTTTTAACTTTATTCTCAAAATCATTTAGTTGTCTCATGTAGATTTTTTACTTCAAGGATACATAAAAAAATATGTTAACTACATGCATATGATCCAAAATTAAATTAGATATAAACTCAATTGCATATATTAATCAAATTGTTACATACTTTGCTACAAATGAAAAGTCTTTGCCGTAGTCATGTTTTTTTTTGTGTAAAATCACTAGCGATCAATCTTTTTAAAAAAATCTATTTTTAATGAATTTTATGTAATTTTATTTTAGCTTGTACATCCACTAGCTATTAATAAAAGTTTGAATCATAAAAACTCCACTAACTTTCACGTGTTATTATTCATAGACAACTACATCTCATGCTCCATAATAGTGTTACACTCAAGCTTATTGATATTATTTTTTCTTAGAGCAACACAATGTTATCATCATTCTCAATCTTGATATCACAAATTTTTTTCCTAAATGAATCAACTCATAATTCACATCTGATAAACTCTATTGATTTGATGATATTTCAATAGATAATTTTGATTGATTTTTATTGTTTGATTCAACTTTTTAGTACTCATCAACAAAACCTTCTACTACAATTATTGCTCTTCAAAAATGTGTTTCATCTATAAAAAAGCTCTTTTGTGTAGTATTATTAAATTCATAATGATCTTTCAATCAACATCATTCATGAATGAAAGTAGTGAAACCATGATTATTTCAGTGAATCATGGTTATTTCGTTATTAGTATCCTTATTCTCTTCACAAGTACTACTCAAATTGACATTGTCAGTATGCACATTATCCATCTCCAATTCAGCTTCACTCTTGCTCTACTAGTTTTGTTCATATTTTGAATTTTGTAGCTACACTTTCTTGAATGTCTAAGGAGATTATTCATAAATAAGTAGGGCTTAATTACCAATAGGCTACTTTGAAGATCATGTTAATGTGGTATTGAATGAGGAAAAATTGTTTGCTTTACATTGTAGATTCCACGTTTCAAGGATGAATTTAAATCGATGTGTAGAGACTGAAGTAAGAGTTCAAGCACTCCAAAATGCAGTTCAACAATATGTTATTTTCAAAAAAACTTGAAAGGTTAAAAAAATTCAACTTGTCAAGAAGTTGAAAGAGGTGGAATCTATGTCTGCAAGTTTAAACCACTCTAACCAACAAAATGTTCCAGAATTCAAATGACTCTACTCCAACAAATGCGTTCCTCAACAATACATTCAAAGGTTGAAAGTTTAAGTTGAAGGGTTGAATAAAAAGCTTGCTTACATAAATAACATCATTTTATCTGATAGGAAAGAGATGGAGATACCAATAGCAATAGGAGTATAGCTGAATACAAGATGGATATATCTCTAAATATCAACAATAAAGTCAGCCCAGATTGTCATGTCAATGACGAATTCACATACAGAAGATAACGAAACAACATAACAGTCGTTGATGACGTGACTCGATGCGTCAAGATTCACAATTGCGTCAAGAGTAAGTGATCCAATAACGTCAACATCATCAATGAAAGAGGACCAGACCATCCAAAACAGCTTACTATTGATCCAAGAGCGTCGTCAATATCTAAATCAGGCAAAAACTAATTATTCTTTTTGAGATGAAGTGATGCATATCAAGCACAAACACCCATCATAGACAAGGTGAAGTTGGATGTGGTTGTTTAAAATTGATATGCACAAATAACTGAGGGCGATGAATCTTGAATCATTTAATTATCTTCTTTGTTAGATAGCCAGATAGCCAGCAATTGACAACTCAAGTACATGTAGTCTATATTTTTGAGATTAGATTTTGTTGTCACATCAAGTGAAAAGTTAATCTAGTTATGATAGCAAAAACTCTCTACTTCACAATGTACATGATGTGCTCCATAATGAGATTTAATTGATGCAGCCCACATCAAACTTGAACCAAAGAACACTTTTTGTGCATTGCATTGTTGAGGCAACTGACAACACCAAACACGCAGCCAGTCATGTTAAGGTCTACAACAGAAGTCAATTGCTATTGTTCGAAGAAGAAGTCCGAATTGCTATTGCTATTACATCACTCGTGTCGAACATGATGTCATCAACAATCATGTTCATGATATCATTTTTGATGTCTTGGCATCAAGAAATGAAGATGAAAAGCACTGCATAATAGAGTTTTAAAACACCACTATGACACCGTCGAAGAAGTCATTTTGATCATCGTCAAATTGTTGCAATTGTGCATAGTACTGTGTGCAGCATGCTGGCAACTAATTTGATTTTTAATATTGTCATAGCAGCAACATTCATGTACATCGATGGAAGACTTGCACTTCACATTCATCTTTTACTTGCGACCAAAAGCAATGCTGAATCGGCATTGTAGCTCATTGAGTTGTTTGCCATTTTTCGTCTGAGAGCTTACTTTCAAACCAAGCCAGAAATCATTATCTTTGACGTAATCACTTGCAAGCTATAGAATCTCCCGGTACTCTCGATGTACAAAAACTTCACATTGTTCTTGACTAGCACTATGTTCACTGTCTCATCCCTCATGTCGAAGGATTCCAATAAAGCTAAAGCAAACACACCAAATATTATGAAGAGATGACGCTCTTCATATGCGCCCACGAATCTCAACGCAAAGCCACAACCCATAGTCCACATAGGAAATATTTGCACATCTTCCGGCTTCACATGAAATAATTTAATACACTCAAGCAATCTATCGCTTGCAAACTTAATAAGTGAAGCATGAAAGCAATGAAATGAATGGTTTGTGAATGGAAACTAAGTCCAACAAAACACATAAAAGCTTTACTAATGAAAACCTTAAAAATGATCAAAAGCTCTTGCTAGTTTTATTTTATGATGAAAGTATAATCTAAACCCTAACTAGGTTGAACTAACATCAATATAATAACGTAATAGAGACATTCTACCTTCATTCAATCCTAGTTAGGTCTCGATTGTACTTCTAACACACTATACTTCTAAATCTTTATATAAAGTGACATTGTCAAATATGTCAATCATAAAAGCTCTAAAATTGTGATCTCATTTCCTAATATTCTTTGAAATAAATTGCAATTCTTTCTCTGTGGTGTTACCAAGTAGTTGAGAATGTCATTTATTTGAGAAGTAATTTGTAGCGGAAATATTAGTATCTGTTTTTTAGTGATTAAATATGATTTACAAAAATATGAAATGTTTCAACTATTATCAGGGTAAATCATTTGATCAATTTCATATAATGTCCAACTTAGACTTAGAACTATCATAGAGTAGAAAAAATTCAGACGTTTAGTTTTAATTAGTAAGAAAAAAAACTAGAAGAACAAAAGTCATGACTATGAGAAACTATACAAATAAAGCAGTGGGAAATATTGAGTGGTAGAAGTAATTTGTAACACTTAATTCTTCTCCAATCAAAAAGTACATTTTCAATCTTGGATCACGCAGATAATTTGCATTGAACTGTATTACAAGTAAAGTAATCTACATTTTATGTAAACACTCTTTGTTTCACAAAACTATATTAGTTATAATGTATTGGTTCCGCACTATCTTGTTTCAAAGAGAAGACAATCAAATGCAAGTATCAATTCGATTTGATAGATCGAACGAACAATTCCAAGTAGTGATTAATTTGGATTATAGTGTCAAAATTGATGTTGCAAATATTTTGTGGCATAAAGACTGTATTACATGTGTTCAGATATTGTGAAAATCTTAAAAATTCCCATTTTCTTATTGACATGAGAAAACATACTAACACATGAGATGAGATGCGATGGATATAAGTAGCTGGAGGTTTGTTGAGGTGAAAGCTAACTCTAATTGAAAAGGTTTGATGATAACTAATAGAAAATAAAGTTACATACCACCCAAAGTCTTTCACTGGCAATTGCTCGTAGATATTACATATCCAATAAAAAACAAGTGTGTAATATAACATGATCTTGACATGAAGATCTTCCAAGTGGATTGTATCTGTTTAGTATTGATAAACATATAATCAGTAAGATGGTTGTTGTGATATAGAGATCTTTGTGAAGATCTCTACCTCACAACATAGCACTATACTGCTTACCCAAACTAATCAGAAATAATCCAATTGCAAATTAATACAGGTAACCTTTCGAGACCATGGAGCTGCAACATGGTCCGAGTTACTCTAAAATCTGAGTAACAACTGCTGGATTATAGACTGCGAAATAAAATCAGATATAAGACACGAACAAAAGATTCCGTACAAAATTTGCAATAATAAGTTCAAGATGCCAAGAGAAATGAGCAAACCTCAACACGATCTGCTGATTTTTTTTAAAGGTTCTCACTTCCTTGCTAAGAGTGTGCAAAAGAGCATCATGATTCTCCTTCGTTGGACTTCAGAACCTTTCTTGGGTTATGAAAGAAGAACAGCTTGTTTCCGCGGGATCGCATCTGTTGAAAACAATGGATGGAACAAAAAATTACTGTCACGACACGAACACCAAACTGGGAATACGCTAAAAGAAAATTACAATTTGTCTCCAGGCAACAAATACGCAAAATTCACTAAAAATTTAAGAGTTCCATGTGAAAATAAAATCGAAGAGCATGCAATCTAGAGTTAACAATATATAAAGAACTCATTCATACCTTTATTCCCCATCAACCGTTTCGATTTTTCGAGCAGGGGCGACCAGTATTTCCTTGTGTTGAACAAGATACTCTCGCAGATATTTTTGCGCTTCTTGTCCCGGTGGCAGGAAGATAGAGAGCTTCCTACCACCGCGACTTCCAACCGGCTTCAACTTTGTTCTATTTTCCCCGAACTGGCTCAGAAACCAACGCAGTTGCCTCAATCCAAACTTCGTTACGAATTCTGGCGTAAGTCATTGGTATGGCGAAATCAACCGGGAGGAAAAGAAAAGGAGGTCATTTCATGTTACCACCGACGACAACAGTTCAGAATTATCGGTACTACTGAGCTTCTCTCTAATCACTACAAGATTCAAAGACACAGAAACTCTTAATGACCAAGACAGGCCAAGAAACTCTTAATGACGAGAATGTACCAAGCCGAACATTCTCGTCTTTAATAGACAGACACAACAGACAGACCTTATGTATCTCAGACGTTGACGCATCAACGTCTGATGCCCATGCTTTTCGCTCCTGATGATCCCATGGGTACTTGAAAGCTTCTGACTAGTTGACTGTCTGTAATCATTGCAAAATATAGGCGTCTGCACTGAAGAGACATTGACATCGTTACGGCTGAACTTGATTGTATTTCTAAGAACAATAGTAGATTATTAGCTCCAGCCGTTTAGTTGAACGCAGAAAGCTCACGTTGCCGCTTCACTGACAACAGGACGTGCAAATTCCGTAAGCATACGTCAATTCCCGATTCCTCTTAGCCCCGTTCTTAAATCACACTGCTAAATTACCTTCGTGGGTTCTTCAGATTGCCTCTGCCTCCAAGTCCCATCGTGGCCCTCCGGTGGCCTAGGACACGCAGGCTCCGACCCAGTAATAGGGGCTGGTCCTGCCACTCCTAAAACAGGGGAGGTACTGAGACAACACAGGAAAATAATACATACCTAGTTTTTCTGGAGAGAGGATGCCCTGGAAATCTGCAAAATAGATTCCTAGAGCTCCATCAAGTCTAGCATCCTGTCGGAAAAATTGCAGAAAATATCACCTTTGTTCAAAAAGATTATATCCGTTGGCAGCGGGCATAAAACTTGCACATTGATCGACGATCCACAGCCTTCAAAACTCCCATCTTACCAGATCGAATTGATCGAGAACGATATGTACAGACAGTTCATTTGCATTTCTCACGTCGACTACAACAAACACAGTATAGAGCAACCTTGACGTTTGCTTTGCTGCAGTGACCCGCGACACTGTGCAAATGGGTTCTGGGTTGGCACGTGCGCGGTCGAGATTGGACTGCGCGCGTGCCAACCCAGAACCCATGGACCGCCGGTTGCACCGCCCGTATTATATATCTATAAACTCCGACCTTATATATCTATCTTATCGCGAGGAAGACGCTCTGAATGCTGTAAGCATAAGCAACAACAATGGCCAAGTCGACAAGCCAAAGACAACTGAAGATACACTCGAAAGAAATCGCGAAAGCGGAAAGTATCCCTGAGTCGATTAAGCAGGCAACTTGCACAATGCAAAACAACGATTTATTTCCCGTCTTCAACAACAACAGTAATTTAAAATTTACTCGACGGTACCGACGGAAGTAAGTATCGGTAGAGAAGATACTATCGATACGGAATAGGAGACCAAAGACTATCAACGAAGAATGTGAGTATGCATCCACGTATGCTAAAGCCAAACATCACGTCGGACTTCGCGATCGGCTGGTTTCCTAGCCACACCATTCGAGGGCAACTACATTCAACATACGAACCAACCACAACCTATTTCCAGATCTCATGAGCCCCCTGAGGCCCTCTTGTCCCTAAGCAAGAATTTAGACCTCATAATTCCATAGAGTTTGATTGACTCATAATTCAGTCGAGCAGATGAGACCCCATGATCGAGTACAAGGTACTCGGGTAGTGATGTGCAAGGTTGGATTGTATGGATACAAAGTAGAATCTAGAGGCTGTTGTCACACTTTATATATACTATACAGTTACTTAATATGTGCCAAGGGTGCTGTGACTGAGATTCAAGGAGTGGCAGAGCTCTAATATACGCTGCAGATTTCACCTTAGGTGAAATGAATGCCTAAACAACCACGAATATCAAAGTACGGGAATGAAAGCCTGAAACAAGAGCTTCCCATACAAATTAAGTCGAAAAGCAACAGCAACCACAAACCATCATATTGACAAAAGTACGTCGACAAACAGCTGAACTCAGCCAGCAGATCGGAAGCTTAAGATTAAACGCTATCCAAACAGCTGAACTCGGCCCGCGGATCGGAAGCTTAACATTAAACCCTATCCAGAAATACGGAGGAAGGGAACGTGATAGTATAGATCCTATCCATGGTGCATAAGAATCCAGAGTTTGAACAAACAAAGATAGTATGCATCAATCCTCTCCTGCTAGTTCCAACACCCGATAAGCCACCAAAGGCATCTCTTGTACAGAAGCAAGAGTGTAGCCTCAAATTTCAATAGGAAGGTCATCTTCTGGGGTTTCGGTCAAATATATGGAGGCCTCGTATCGTACGTTAAATTGCACCAGGAGATAGTAGATTTGAAAAGCACCTTCCTGTTTGAAGATTCAAGAATATCTGCTGGAGATTACATGCGGCTGGATTTTGACAACTATGTAAAGTGAAATTGAAGGAGGGGTCATCCAGCCTCGATGCATTGAGAGCGTGCTAACTCCAAGATCTTGTCACGCCCCATGAAAGGTCCGTGATGCTTCAACTCTCAAATCGAGGTCGATTCAAGTCGAAACGCGTAGTTGAGTAAAGAAGGAAGGCATACAGTTTCTTCCGGGTTGGAATTAGTACACAGTCCGAAGAGGTACGCGGCAGGAGAGTAATAATAGCAAGCCGTGACCGCCAAAAAAACCGGTAGGCGACGAGCTGCTGGAGTGAGCAAAATAAGCAACGACCAAAAAATCGACCAACTATGCCTGGCGGCAGACAGACTGGAGTAACAACCAGGAGGTAAAAGGTAAAACATTACAAGATTCAGACTACGAGAAAATCTAAGTAAAAAAGAAGAAGTAGGTACCCAGTCACCCAGGAAGGAATGTGCAACAGATAAGCCAATACAGTAAGGGTTAGTAGCATGATTTTTGCTTCGTATACAGGATGGACGTGCATCCTCCATCACTTCTATAATATGTGTACTGCGATTTCCTACTTATAATCCTCTGCTATACACTACTTTGCGTGCACATCACGTATATAATCCATGCAAAGATTCCTACCCCTTTCCAACCTCATGGGTTTACAGTACTCTTGACATCCAACTTTTGGAAGAGGAGAGATGGAAGTTTTACAGAGGCAAGGCAGCTAAGACCGCGCCAGCCTGCTAGTGACCATTTCAGTTTACATAAAAGCATCAGTCTGCTGACAATAAAAAGCCTGAAGGCCGATAATGTACAACCCTCCGTAAAAGAGATTAACTTCCATGAATGCTGCCTGAAGAAATAGGATGCCGATGTCTGTAATTGAGAGGAGACTCCAAAAGGTGCAGATAACAATGCAGCAAAGACGAATTCAAAATAATTAAACCATGGAACTGGAAGAGAATACAAGCAGGTACGACTAAGGTCCCGGGAAGGAATGTGCAATCTTGAAATTTATAGATACGGAATAGAATCCAGAGTCTGTATTCCACTTGGAAAGTGGGCAAGTTCCTCCGGCTACCTCCAAGATCTCTTCAGACCAATTATACATCCTTGACACTACAAGTTTCAACTGGATGTCGTCGCTCTGGGATCTGATCTAGTTGATGGGAACCCAGTATATATGTAGCAAGATCGAGTCCATGTTATCAATACAAGCGGTGATGCTTTGACCGGAATTAAGAGGTGTAAGATTAAGGTAAAATCCAAATGTACATGCACTTAAGTAGCAGAACTGCTTCTGATGGTAGATAATATATACGCAGTCCCTCGGAGGCTTATGATGCAAGAGACCAAAGCAGCTCAACTAAAACGAACTTTACTAGATGGAAAGAAGCATCAAGACAATGACATACGACCAAAGACATGTCGTGCATGAACTGAATTGTGGAGTTAAAAGCCAAACTGATTCCACATTCTGTATGTACATGCAAACTACGTAAATGTAGCCTAAGGATAAAATCGGATGCTGGTGTATGAAAATGAGGGCCAAATGCCAAACAGGTGCTGAAAACAATTCAGGAAATGTAAGATTCAACATGGAAAGCCGTGGAACTGGAAAAGAAGTGTTCGCAATCTCCACTAAAGTACCCAGGAAGGGATGGGAAGCTTGGTTTCTATAAATACGGAACGGAAATACAGAGGCTGTACTCGACTTGAAAATTGAGAGGGTATCAATACCTGCTCGCTACCTCCCAGATTGAGGAGCAATACAAGCAGGAAAGAACCGTGTCCAGCGTTGTGCAGATAACCACCTGCGGGAGATACCCTACTATAGTAAGTACATTATAATGGGGCAACTTTTTCAGTAACTCCACATTTATCGAATAAAAGTAAATTGATGTAGCAAGATCGAGTACAAGTGCTCAATGCAAGTGGCGGGGAGCTGACTAGAATTTAAAAGTGGCTAGAATAAGGTTCCAAAAATACCTGCAAGTTCGTAACAAAGATTGATTCGCGCAAAGAATGGACATTCAACCTGCTTGAATGGAGCCTGAAGCAAAAACTGATGCGCATGTCTGTACTTGACCGCAATGCCCATAAAAGTGCGGAAATTGTTAGCAGATGTTACCGAAGTACCCAGTAAGGGATGTGCAAGCTTGTGTTTATCTACCTATTGTTGTGTTATCATGCATGTTTGAGCACAAGTATTCAGTAAGGGGGCACTGGGAGCTGTGAGTGGATTAAAATATGCAGCAACATACAAAATATACATAAATACATATAATCAAAGCCTCCACTCCGAGAAACGCCGATCAAACGTCCACGTTCGGTGAGAGATGGAGCTGAAATATCGGTATTAGACCTCATATTCTTGCACAGTCCAACTGACAAGCTCACGCAACAATTAGTAAACACAGCGACATAAAATACAGGTAGACTTTGAATGAGAACCAACAACATTCTCAGTTGTGGACAATTTATGATTCATACATAATAATTAAAATACTATGATTGCATGTATTAAAGAAAAGTGTGGAATTCAATTGTGCAAATCGTATTCCAAGACCGAGAAATATGTATCGAAAACGTCTTACTAAGCTGAAGACACATACAGATGAATAATAAAGAGACAATCAAGCTACATAGTCTCGATGGAGACATGAAGAGACAATCTACACATAAGGGAACCACAGCAGAAATTTATGAAAAAGCATTTACTTGTGAACAACCAATCTGTACACTTTTTGATGCAGGGTGCTCAGAAGCTATCCATATCTGCGTCAAAACCTGAAATGACAGCAGATGTGCATGTGGCAACCAAATCTGCAAATATAAGTCTAAGCAGTCCCCGCATCTTCATCTCCTCTACCTGGAGAAAGATTTGGAATTAAACGGCATTCAATATGACCAAACTCCCACAATCTTTCTCAACTACAGCTTGAAATGCTGAAAAAATAATCCTTAGCTGAACTGTTTTTCGACCTAATTTGATGAAAATACAAAACTAAAGTTTCAGCATCCTGCGTCGATATCGCTCCGAGGCTCGTGGCTATCTTTACAGCACCTCGTAGACAACAGTCGCCATAGTCCTTTGTAAGATGCCCAGAAAAAGATCCAGCAGATATATGACACCAATAGCAAGCCCACGTTGAGTGAATCTGGTATATCTGAGCAACCAAAATTTTGCAGCATCTTTGCAACTTCAGGATGTTAGAACCATTGTCCTGGAAACCCTGTGTTGCAGAGTTTCAAGCAAATCCTTAGCTTCCGGCGAGGTTGTCAGAAACCAGCGCCCTCAATAAAATGCACCCAACCAAAACAAAGCACCACCTTGCAACTTGAGGAGCAGGTCAGAAAATCTTAGAAGTCCAACCCAGAAAGCACCATCTTGCAGCCTGAAAGGGCCGATGCTTTGTCCTTGGTTACACTATGTTGGTACAGTATCGAGTAATCAAAAGCCCCTTGGTCTTCCACAACCTGGTTCCGAATACCTTCAAGGTATACTGTGTGCTAGCTTCATAGAAGTAGTTATACGGCCCTCTCTTTTATATACACCCGAAAATGAACACCATAATGCAAAATTGAGCGCAGAGTAGCTGGCTTTCGGATTTAAATTCAGGTTGCATAATCCTGAATCCTACAGCAACCCAAGAACGCGCCGCTTTTCTCTTTCATGCGGCAATTTACTCCTGACAGTCAAATATTGGTACAGCTCACAGAAGTTCCTTGCCTTGTCCATTCAAGCTGCAGTGCTTCGATCGATTGCTTGCAAGCTACTCGTGGTAGATTGCAAGACAACTGAACAAAGAGTAGTTTCTCTTCGAAAGGATGTCATGATACAAAGGGAAATTTGACAATTCAACGGCGTACTAAGGTGAGGTTGAATAGGCATGCAGGTTGATACTCATGCACAACATTATGCCATCCTTCAGACCCTTGGTTTTATTTGTCAAAAAATGTAAGTGAAACCCCAATAAACCCCAATATCCTTCAGTGACCAATAGCATCTAGAGCTACGCGCACCTGTTTGACCAGTGCGTCCATATCATCTAACAATCCAATTTCTCCTACTCTTCTTATTGCGAGTATGGACTCTTGACGAGAATCATCTCCTGCACACTCAGCTTCATATGCAGCGGTAGCAACTCTGGCCTTGTTCCACGACTCCAACATCCGGTATACATCGGATGACTGTAGAAGAAGAAGAGAAACAAGCAAAATCAGATGATTCAAACTTCAAATACTAGAAATGTATCCCCTACAACCCTGATGATGCAATCACAGAAAATCCATCCGGAACAGATCCTCCCAATATACATGAGCAAATGACTGTGAAAGACCTGACAAACTAGGGCGAGCATGAACCACAAAACTGCTCTTCTTGTTACAGAAAGTTCTTTCATTGCAAATCGTTTCGTTGTCATCTAGTGCTAGTGCCATCGTTGACGTTCTAGTGCTTCACAGTATACACAAGAATCTATTGTCCACACACGTGTAATGAGAAATAGCTAGCATTATCTTCACTTACATTGGAGAGATGTCGTTGATAATTTGTGTGAAGTCGACTAGGTAAAACTTCATTATTACCCAATGACGTTCCAGGTAGAGGGGACAACGCAGGGCCTTTCGATATATTTGAAGCTAGTTTTTCATTTAGAGCAGCATGATTGTTGAGATTATCCACGTCAGACGCAGATGATGAAGATGGAGATTCTCCTGCAACAATTACATTACACGACCACAAAAAATTAACTCTGCAGTATAATCATGAGAATGAATATTGCAGTTCTCCACACTAGATATAGCAGCAATAATTCGAACAAATCCGATGTAAACGCATGTCTTGAGCTCTTTACATAGATACTATCGAGGATTATATAAACACAGCGAGACCGAGACCAAGTACAGTAATCTCCCGGTTAAGTACGCAAATTGATCCCAGGAAGATTTTGCGTACTTAACCGGGAGGTGCGTACTTAACAAACAGGTACTTTCATAGCAAGGTCCGGGCTGTCACTTTGAAATCTGAAGTCTGATGTGGGACAATGAGGGTCTAGTTTCGACTTGCGCGTCCAGGTCTATGCCTTCCAACAGATTTCGCTTCTACAGACTTTGTATTTTTCCTATCGTTGAAAGAGCTCAACCTTTAAAGTTTGTTCTCTTACACCGAAGTCAGTGAAGCATATATATTCCTGGAGTCTAGTGAGTTCCCCTTTGCATCACGAGATTACCCCACCTCCAAGTACAGAGAAGGGGAGCAGAGAAAACAAGTTCCGGAAGGGGTTCTAATTTTCTATTATTGTCTTTAGAGTTGTCTTAGTTGAAAAGTCAGACTACGATTCATGACATGTTGAACTAAACATTAGAAGATTGTGTAAAATAATATTAGTTGCAAAGACACCCTCAAATTTCATAAAGAATGTGAAATTAGCTATGAAAATTGTTTGTGGTCAAAAATTTATACAGACACGAAGTAAAGGTTCGACAGGAAAGTCGCGAACTGTAATTGTTTCTTTGGAGTGATCCGCGCTTGTATGAAATTCGACATTTCTTAAAGCCAAGCTTCTAATCCCTGCTGTCAACCGCCCATGGACATGGGCTTTTGTATCAGGGCTAGGACTAACACAAAACCTTTCTTTTTTAACTTGTAAACAAGTTAAGTAATGGGAGCAGAAACCCGAATACGTTCTGTTGAACGCTGCTTAATACTATTGCCTCTTACCGTCCTCACATGGAAGATCCGTGTAAAGTTTACACGGATATTTAGGGTTTACATTATAAACCCTAAACTTGATCCGTGTCTTTTTGTAAAAAAATTGCGTAGTTATCCGGGATGCGTACATAAACGGGTGCGTACTGAACTGGGAGGTTACTGTACTACAGGCCTTGAGAACTACAACTGGAACTTAAAAGGTGTTGCAAATACTCTGAACCCGTACTGCGACATGCAGATCCAACTTTTATTGGAACAAATGCCAGAATGAAAGCAAGTAAGTTCCAGGACGTGATTGAACGAAGCGAATCCACTGGAGTCCCATCGTTCGTGAATGAAGCTTTCAGCGAGAGAATCCGATATAGCACAAGTCGACAAGCAACAGCAGTCATATATCTTCCATGACCAACGGCGTTCAAGAATTTATTTCTTTTGCCTCCGCGCCGTTGCGGAGGTTCGAAGAAGCCGGGTTAGTAAAATCTTTTTTTTTTTACATTCGGCTGTTAACTTAACTGACGGATGGGAAGAGTACAGTTGGAAGGTACAAAAGACACCCAGAGGGTACCATGGAAAGAAAGTGCTATTACAGATCCTATGGATGCTCCACAGGAAACCATAGAAACTAATCAACTACGGGCAAGGCATCACACCCCTTCCGCTATTTCCAAGACCTCAACAACCCCCATGAGGTATCTCTTGTACACGGACGAGAGTGTAACCTTAAACGTCAATTGGTGTCCATCGCAGAGGGTTTCCGCCTGAGTTGATGGAGATACCATAATCTCTCTTCAACTTATTCCTGCGACTAACTCTCTCTATATGGCTCCCGCTAAATTATACATATACCCTCCCGTTATTAAGGTATTCTATTCGAGAGCATCCAACCGTTTCACTCCTATAGGGGTTAAACAGTTCGTAGCTTACCAATTATCGGAGCTGGATGCGAGGAACCCGGTTTGTCAGAACCACGGCTTGGATGTGGAACCGAAGCAAGGCCAGTAGGTGGTGTTTGCATCACAGCAACTTGATTACCAAGAGCCGTTGATGCTTTGACGGCATTGTGTAGCTCCACATGATCTTTATGGATTTCCTTAGATTTAAACATCAACACTCTCATCCGCGCGAGTGCTGCGACCATGTAAGATAACGCAGCTGCAGCATGCTCCATTTTTTTCTCGAATGCTGAGGAACAATAGCTGCATAAATGAAAGAACAAGTATCGGGATTGAGACTCCAATTCAAATAGAGGTGAGTTTCGTGAAGTAGCCTTAATTTTGAAATAAAATGACGAATAGAGGAAATAAACAAGGGACAAATAGAAAAAAACAGAAGCTATGAGCACAATATATTTGAAAAGGTTTAGCAGATAAACAAATCAAGTGTCAAACGAGACTGACAATCAAAGAATGAACCACATGTATTTAAAAAGTCAACTCTGATCAGAGAGCATGAACAGCATTATATATGCGATGCCAGACATCCATGACGTCCACACTTCATCAACAAAACTTTTAGACGATTTGAACCGGTGAGTCCAGAGATTCAAAAAGGACATACTCGCAAAGATATGCGGTGTCAAGGTATATCCTAAAACTCGTAGAAAAATCACCGGGCCTGTCGTTTGCGGCCTCTTGGTGATGTGCAGCTTCCAAAAACTTCAATCCTGCTTGCAAATACATATTTGTGCTATCGTCTTCCATACCTGGCTCATTCTGGATAAACCAAACCAGTCAACTGAAGTTAGAAAAATTTAACTTCGCATCAAGTTTGTCATCGTCAAATCGAAGAGGCTGAGTAATTTTAAATGTACTGAAGAATGAGCAAACCTTGATACGATCCGCCGAGTGTTTCAAGGATTTGGCTTCCTTTGTAAGAGTTGACGCCAGAGCAGCATGATTTTTCTTCGTTGGACTCCCAGATCCTCCATCACTACCCCTGGCAATGTGCCCGGGATTATTAGACGCATGACCCGCTTCAGCACTTTGACGTGCTGGATAGCTCCCTTCAGAACCATTCTTGGGCTCTTTACCCTGTTTCGCACTCTCGTCTACGTGTCTGGTCTCAGTTGCTGGACTACCTCTCTTCCGTGCACCAGGTGGCTGCCCTTCAGGCCTACTTCTATTCGCACCGAGGGATGCACTATAAGGCTCTGCTCCAGGCCTGGGAGCAGCACCTTCCACCTCCTTCCGACCAGAGGATCCAACTGCTGCCTTGTCTCCATTCCTGTCTGAGAATAGGTTCAGACGGGCCTTCGGATCTTTCTGTGGTGTAGGTTCGTTCTTCTCGTACCTATGAGAAGAATTATCCCTCTGACCACCGTGACCTGGCTCATGCTCGTCGTGGCAAGGAAGTTCATCTTTGGCATTGTCGTCCACATGTCTCGACCTGATATCAACATGGCTCTTTTCGGCAACGCCATCCTCCGTTCTTTCCCTCCCTTCTCTACTCGAGTCTCTGCCTGGTCTGGACTCCTCACGCCAGTTTGTGCCACCCTGCTTGTCAAGCCGGCTTTCCCGAGACGAAGGTCTTCCACCCCAGTCATCACGTTGATGAACGCTTCGCTCCCTAGTACCCCGTTCCTCCCTAACATCTCCTCCCCGCTCGGACGTCCAAGTGTCTCTAGGTCTCTCTCTGTCACGTTCCCTATCTCTGTCCCTCTCCCGAAATCTATCTTCGCCCCTTCGATCATATCTGTCGTCCCTCTCTCGGTGTCGGTCATCACGATGTCGGTCGTAACTTCCGCCACGATCTCCATTTCCAAAGTGACTGGCACTGCCAGCTCTTCTCTCCCTGCTTGCACCTTCTTCCCAATGCCGGTCATCATCCCTACCAGATCCCCGACTTTTGCCATCAAACTTCCTAAAATCCGCAGGACCTTCTCGACTGTTACTCCTCGCGTATCTCTCCCGTCCGCTGCTCGTCTCCCTGGTATTGAAGCGAGAGGAGGGTTCAGGTGAATGAAGACCACCTCTGTCATAGTTATCACGATGCGTTTGTCGTTGTTGACCATCCCTGTCGCTCTGTGTGTCTTGTTCGTCTGTAGACCTCTTGGGACTGGGAGACCTTAGCGGCGAAAGTGGACTCCGTTTATTACTCGTCGGCCGGCTATCAGGGGTAGTATTGTGCTCATGGCCTTGTACGCAGTCTGCAGCCCTCCTCCTTCCAGCCCCGGCCTCCACCTTTTGAGACCTTACGGGCGACGAAGAAACTGTCGATTCGATTGGAGAAGGTCCCTTGGATCCACTCGCCGAAGACGCGGCAGAAAAGGAATGCTTCGAAGAGCTAGCGGTCAGTGGTGAGGGGGAGCTAGAAACTCGACCTCTTTCGTCATCTTGAGGTGGATAAAGATCAACAACGGGAGCAGGGCTCTGGCCATGCGGGCTATCATCGGCCCTCTCTCCATCAGACCCTTGCACATAGGTTCGTGCAATCCCTGATACTTCATCAAACAGCCTCTTACCTCTGAAATCTCCGTCCAGCCTCCGCTCATCATACATACCCTCCGGCTGCGATTTAGGAGATGATCCAGTTTCATACTCCCGTGTTGCTTCAAGATCCTTAGAGACCATTCTTCTCTTCTCATTGTGGTACTCGGCTTCAGGTTCTTCTTTTATACGCTTCTTACCTTCTGAGTAACCATTTCTTCCTCTAATGTCCACTTTCCGAATGGTCTCATTCTCTCTACAGTTCCTTTTGTAGTCGTCCCTGCGGTGCTTGTCATCATCGCTGTCGCTGCTTTCGTGTTTAACAAAAAGCTCTGACTTGCACCTGACATCCACACCCTTTTGATTCTCCTTTCTTTTCCTCTCATCTCCTCTCACATCTTGTCTGTCGTCTTTCTTCTTTGGCTCCTTATTGCCACTCAAAGTGACCTTCATCTTCCTTGGTGCTTGGGCCTGAGCAGGAGCAGTCAGAGTGCCTCTGCCAACGTTTCTGCTACTGATTCCAGCATCATCGCTACCGTAGTGAAAAGAGTGGGTATTCTCATCACTACTTTGAACCTTTGACGGAACAAACATTTCTACAACCATCTTCCTCCCTTTGCCATCACCCCCTTTCGCCTTTTTCACTACTGGCGCCTCCTCGTTGTCGCTTGTGTCCACCTTCTTCTTCCTCTTTACACCACCAGGTACTTTACTGCGATCATCTTCACGAACAGCTTGTTTCTGGGGTCGCGGATCCTCACCTGTTGAAACGACCGATAGAAGATAGATAATGACCACTGTCATTACACTTGTACCAGACTAAGCAGACGCTAAAAGAGGAAGATAACTTGCCTCGAATTTGCATACTGCTGCAAATTGAAGGTTACAGGGCAAACACAACCAGTAAACTATCCGTTTCTAGTATTTACAACAACAAGAAAGTTAACCAATCCTCATCAACATATAAATGCGAATGTTAGGAAACCATGCAGTTTTTTCATCGATATTTTATATACTCAACCTGGGATATGATGAGATTCATATAACCATAACCACAGAGGAGATGCACTATACCTTCACTCGCCCGCATCCGTTTCAATTTTTCTTTCTCTTTCTCCTTAAACTTTTGTTTATCAGCCATCACCCTTTGATAGCCTGGGTCTTCAGTCGGGAGTGGTGGTCCTCGTTCACGCGGTTGTACATCAACCAAATTCTTGTTCTTGGTAGAGACCATGTCCACTTTCTTGACCGTGGGCGTTGAGAGCTTCGGAGTACTTCCTCCAACCTTCTTGACAACTCCTTTTTTACCTTGCTTTTGGGCTTTTGACGGTTTTTGCTCTAGATGTCGGCTTTCTAATGTTGTATCCAGAGGTGGAATAACGCATGTCAACGTTGAAGGTAGTGGCGCAGCCCCGTTCAACCCAACAGCAGGTAAGGTATTCGGGTTTTGCAGCCCTAGGTAGTTGTAAACAGCATTCGTGGTAGTTTCCTCTGTATACTTGCAGCTGTTCAAACCGGGCCTGCAGGGTTGAAGTGGAAACTGTAAGAAATCAATACAAAGAAACTTGTAATTCTGTGACACATTACGTCAGAAATGGACCATATGTCGTCCATCGAGTGACCTCGGCGATATCATGCTTAGGAGCTTATTCTCATAACAGCTTAAATAAGAACGAAGATGGAATTTATGTAAACCTGAGCCTTTATAAAGTCCGAGTTCTATTGATTCAAACAGTTCCTTTCCCGTCCAGAAAAGGCTAAATGTGGAAAAGTTGAGACACTTACAGCCATTCCATCGATTGACATTGCCAATTATCTGGCAAAACATTAACATTGACTCCAGGTAAAGCGAGACGCCACTGGTTACATTTCGTGCACTCCACCCAATTATCGAGAACAATACTGGGTTGTGCTGCCACCTCGAGACTGGAACTTCCCACGAGTGGAGGATACAGAGCCTGTGGAGCAGGAGCTAGGAGTCCATTGGCGTCCCCTTGTACGGGCAAGGGATACCTATACACTGCCTTCTCCCTCTCAATATCCTTAGCTCTTGTGGTTTCTTTAGAACCCTTCTTACTGACCTTCTTTCCAGGTTTTCCTGCAACTACATTCTTCAACATATCCAGGCTGTCTCGCTCTCCATGCTTGACTTGCTCTTTGGCTGGAGGCACGGTGGCTTTAAATGAGTCCATGGCTCCATCTCTTCCAGTTTCTCCAGCAACTTTCGCAACTATCTCCTTCCTGACCTCCTTGTAAACCTCCCTGTTTTCTTTACTTTTATCTTTGGGTTCCTTTTGCGCAGGGTGATCCTTGCTGCTTTCTTTGCCCTTCTTCTTCGGCTCAACAGAGAGCTTACTATGAGGTCCGGGGGTGGAGTCCTCTCTCACAGGATGTTTATATGAGAGCTTCAATGTGTTCGTGCCAGCCTCCTTGCCCTCTTTCTTGAGGACTTTTACAGAGTCAACAACTGGTGCTACTTTTATGGGTTCAGGTAGTGGTACAACTTCTTTACTCTTAGGCCTCGTCTCCTTAACCACCTTACTTAGAGTCTCCATGAACTTCCTGGAACCGGGACCTCCGTCCGGCTTACTTGCTGGCGTATTCATCAGCTGCCTAAAAATCTCCTTCTTTTCGGTGACTGGCTCGGAAACCAATGGAGGTATCGAAGGCGAAATCAACCCTCCATACGGAAATTCAAAAGTCGTCAATGCCTGTTAACATTAAGAACAGCAAACACGGCCATCAATACTCCTCGCCTCCTCGTCCACCCACTCTAACATCAGTTGGCGATTCTCATAGCACCTTTGAAAGAACTCAAGGTCGAGACAAGAATCAAGGAGTAGCAGCACACTTACCCTGATCATTCCGGAGGGACTCAAATCCGGAGACGCATTGTCCTCAGAGCCTGATCTCTCATCGTCTTCAAGATCATCATCAGACGGAGAGGACGGATGATCAGACCCAAAAACTTTGTTGTAGACAGAGTTTTGTGCCTGTTTGTCCAGCCCTTGCCCTGTCTTAGGAGGCAATTGGAGCCGGACAGTGAGGCCCTTCTTCTCGGGAGGGATGGTTTCCTTCACGGAATTTGTAGCTCCCGCTGCCGCTGCGGCTGCCGCTGCCTTGACAATTGCGTTCATTGATCTTACATTCTTCCTTTTATGTTCTTTCTCTTTAGGCCAGGAATTGGGATCCGCGGCTGGCACGACAGGACCGCCGCCTTGCCCTCGCCTCGCTCGCTGTTACAAAGTAAAGGAAGCGTCAAAATCCACATTCCTTCTTAACCCGCGAGACCAAACGATTCAAATGGCATACTGCTACATTACCTCCTTGGGTGCTTCGCTTGGTCTCGGCCTCAAAGCCCCGACGTGGCCCTCCGGTGGCCTAGGTCGTGCGGGCTCTGACCCAGGTGGAGGTGGTGGTCCTGGGCCTCCTAAAACAGGAGCGGCCCTCCTTGTTGACGGCAAAAATGATCCGTAACCACCATACTTAGATCCTGCATACATTAAGGAGATGTGTTACTCGAGCTCGAGCCTTGACCACATTTCGCAGGGTACACTTATGTTTCCTGACTTCTTCCAGTAATAAGTTGAGAAGAAAGGCAGCTGGTCTCGAGCTATCTCCAGGAGGCTGTCGAGCCAACCGAGGAAAATGAAACATACCTAGCCTTTCTGTAGACAGATTTCCCTGGAATTCTTTCTGGCAGTCTCCTAAAACTGATTCCAGTCTAGTATCCTGCATCAGAACACCATCTCCGTGAGCAATCGTTTCCAGACTGAGCGTGCACATAAGAAATCTGCGCCCATTCACGAATCACAACCTGGACAAAAGTAGGTCAGTCGTACCAGGTAACTTAGTCTTTCTAAATCATCGTCTCCGGAGCCAGAGCCAGAACCGCCTCCTTCAAAAGCCTCTCCTTCCTCCAGTTCCGTGTCTTCTTCCATCCTTCCAGAACTCCCGTCTTCCTCGCGGTCTACCCATTGTGGCACATAATCTCTGAGGCCATTCGCACGATCAGCACCTCTTTCGTGTATCCTGACGGGCGGCACCAGAGCCATGACCAGAAACTCAGAATTCTGGGTTTCATGACTAGTTTAGACTACCCTAAAAACATCCACAAATTTCCTCGTCCAAAACAGCGCAGCAGGCCAGAATTGTCTTCCCACACTGTCGACAATTCCCCTCGCCAGCCCCCAGCCTAGCCACACACCATGCTGACTACTCTCACTGTTCTCCCTCGAAAATCTCCCTGCCTTCCTCCCGTCCGTCACTGCCCTCCTGCCCCCTCACCACTCTACCACTACCGCATCACTGCTTCTCTCTGCGGACACAACTAAACTCTCCCCCATCTCCTGACGATCGGAGCACCAAATCATCAGTGCCCCGGCCGGTGTGCGTAGAAAAAATCAGCCCCGGCCCTTCCACCCCAGATGTCTGGGCTGTCATACCCCAAATTGTACAGGAATCTGTCGTAATCACATGTGTGTTGCTAAGTGTACGACGGCGAGAGGGAGAGAGAGAGAGAAGGGGGGGAGAGAGAGAGAGAGAGAAAGCGAGACAAGGGAAGGGAAGAGAGCGCTTGCACACGACCGTCCTCGTCCCGGCTCGTCTCGTCTCGTCAAGCACCAAGTCTTTCTCTTCCCTTCCCTCTGTCACTCTTCGACAGGGCCCAGGCGAACAGCAGAACTCGGGCAGCTCGGGCAGGGCAGTCGCGTCTGCCCCGCGCCTTGGTACGAGCAGGAACCCCTTCTGGCCATTTGACCCAGTCTTTTAATGGGCACCCGAACCTGCGATCTTCAGTCCGTCCGGCTCGCCTCGGCCTCCGGGCGCTCTGCAGCCAGGCCGCCGCTCGCTGCAGCTCTCTGGGTCCGTCCGTCCTTCCGTCCGTCCGTTGGTGTGCCCGTCCGTCCGGACTCCCTTCCACTGGCGTCTACATTCCGCACACATGTCTGCATGTCACGTCCGGTGGATCGACCTTCTGACTCAGCTGTCTGCGTTTCACACCGTGCTACATCTCTGGCTCCAAAGAAATCTCAAATCTCAAACTATTTGAATGAACTTTTTAACTCTATGAGCAGCAAATCTCTCTCCGCCTGATCCCAACGAGAACAAATAAAGCATCATCGCATCCCTATCCGCCGAGCCACTAAATAAAATACGCCACTCCTGCGAAAGATTCACAAAAGTCTTACAAGGCCCAACGCCATAAATGTTTACCTTCGCGAATCTACAGCATACAAATCCATGAAAGGTAACCATAAGAATAGTAATTTGTAATTAACTGCGTATCGATTATACATTGGTCGGAGTATCATGAGGAACAAAAGTTTAGGGGTTGTTTCGAGATTTATGAAACGAGGTCACAGTTACACGAATCTTTAGAAGAATTGCTCATCATCGTTCAGTACAACGTTGAGAACATCTAGAACATGGACAAAATTGGATTCTTCTTTTGTCTACTTTCTAGATATTTTATATTTATGCCGAACGAGTACATTTCAAGCACCAAAGTCACAAAAAAATTGAAAGATTGTATTTCTTTGATAGTTTGCGCCAGCGCATCTGAAACACATAAAATTCCATGCTTAATGATTGAAAAGCCAAAAAAATCCAACATGTATCAAATATAGACTGTGGCTAATTTCTTATTTCAATTAAATGAAGACTTGAATGGACGTGAAAATCTACCAGAGATGGTTCAACAAAGTCTTTATTTCAAAAATGAGATAAATAACAAGATGTTCCATTTTCTTGCCAATGAATCATGTGCTATGACACTTCGATGACTTTGAAAGTCACAACATTTGTGTAGTATTTTTCTTCAAAACTATACATACTAAAAACAACCTTGTGATATGAAATTCATCGTTGCTTTCAAGAAACAATACAAATATATGTATCGCGAGAATATACTTAATTTTTACGAGCTTATGATAAGTTGAAACATCAAAAAATAGAAGTTGGAAAATGACTACGACAAGGTGGCAGCTTGAGTTTTCTATGGAAAACTGTAAGCTATGTAAAAGAAACATGGAATTATATTTTGTCAAGTTCTATAAAAAAATCATTTTGTAATGCATAGCATATGAATCTAGAACCAATCAGAGGCTGAGGAAAAAATTAATGTGACTGTGGTTGAATTAGTTCAAACCATCAAAAACTTAAATTTTCAATTGATCTATTAGATTTGAAAGAATTTGTGCATATTGACAACGAAAGCAATAAAAAATATTTAGTAGCAATGCTAGAAGACATAAAAAATTGTAAGATTTGATGAAGATTACTGAATCAGGTCTTGATGAAAATAACAATGTTAATTTATCAAAAAAGTTTGTAGAATCATAATATAGAGTTGAGTTTAATGGATTTGATACTTTGTATAACAAAATAGTTGACATTGAGTATTAGTATCAGTTGTTATGTTCTCAAGTTCAAAATTAATTTGATCGTATCAAAAAATTGTTTGAAAAATTTGAAGCCAAGGTACAAATAAAATCAAAACATGCGTCAAATGACAATTCACAATAATTTATAGTGAAATTACTAAAAATGTTCATCCCTATAACTTTATTGATAAAATGCGTATTTAAATGTGTGCAACTTAAGTGGGAGACTAGAGTATTAGCAAAATGTGTACAAATGTGATATTTTTATGAAATCTAACTTAGAACTAATAGCAATGTCATGTTGTTCTCACTACTTATATGAAATGAGTATTTGTTGCGCATATTGGATTCAAATTATTGTTTCATGTGAATTAGTTGAATTTTTTTTTAACATATTGAACACATTTGATGATTCGTTTTTTTATATATATTTGTGTGATCAATTATTGATTGTGAATTTTTTGCAACAGATTTTTGAACATAAGTTATAGTTTTAATGTAGCTACAACTAAAATGTAGTAATAAACATATAGAAATTATTGAATAGCCAATACGAACTCAAATAACATGTGAAAATTTATATAACTATGTGTAATTGTAAAGTAAATTATGAAGTATATTTTATGATGCAAATAAGCACAAACCATCAACTCATAAACCTTTGAATCTTTCCAATTATATGAATTATATATCAGATTTCTTTTATAATTACTCATAATTCCAACATATTCATGGTACCACATACTAGTTGAAAACATATAGCTTGTGAACTTCAATATGTTTGGATATTTGTTTGAAATGCACATTTGCTTATGACTCGTAGTAAAGACTTAGCCTTTACACAGTAGTTATATTAGTAAAATGAACTCATGTTGATAATTATTATACAAAACAAAAAATCAATAATATTTGTAAAAATGAAATTATGTATCTTTGAAATGAAGATTTATGTTTACTAAGATCATTGATCTATTGTTAATATTTGAAATAATTCAAGACTTCTTTTTTTATAAGAAAACTTCTGTTCTGAACAATAATCTATTAAAACTCTTCGCTGTATGTAGTGTTTTTTTTCTCAACGCTTTTATAACTTAAAAGTGACAAATAAATCACATGCTTGTTTCGAAATAATGTGGCAATTTTCAAAGATACACATAGATATTAGCAATGATACATTATGGACATGCAAATCATACTACTCTTCAAGTGATCAACAAGTAACTCAATAAAACTTCAAATATTATAAAAATTTTCTAATGATAATGTCATAATGATAACTTATATAATAGAAACGTTAGTAAGAAAGGAAAGTACTCACCTGCAGATCAAATACAATTGTTAGAGCCAATTGTGCAATTAAAGCTATTTGCATTAAGACTGCTGTTAAAATCAGAGCAATGTTGCAAGATGTATGGTAGAAAGTATAGATTTTCACCGTTCAGTTTCTTAAGAAAAAACTGAAAAATAACTAATATGATGGAGTTAACTAGTGTAAAAACTTGGAAACTTGTTAACACAAAGTGGATTTTGGTAGCATACAATACAACTTTTATGTTATAGTCATGACGGACATGTTATGATGAAGGTCTTAAGAGTAAAACCGATAACTAGTACTGTGTATATTTTGATATTTGATTAGAGAGATGTATTGTATTAAGCAACATGCATGTGCACGAGCAAAGAAGATAATGTTAAGAAGATATTCAAAGATGGGTTACATATTGACCTACATCATCTAACTATTTAGATGTCTTCATGTGTCATCAATTTATAGTTTCAATCTATCATGAAGTCAAATTTGATCTTTATATGGTGTACTATATTTTAGAAGCTTTAACCAAAAAATTCATTTTTCATATAAAAAAAAAAGTATAAAAGATGACACATATTTTGGCTCACAAAGCTTAGAAAATATTCACTAGAATAAATTTTTTCATCAAACTATGTCTGTTGCATGAAAAATTTAAGTTAAAATTTAGAAGTAATTTTCAACATCAATAAAGGGAATAAATAATCTCTAATTTGTGAATAAATAAGAATATAATAAATAGTAAAATATTTTACCAAGTCATTCATAGATGAAATCAGATCTATAACACCAGGCTGAAAATCATCATAATGAAAAGCATATCATAAATCACATAATTTACTAAAATCATTTAAGTTAACATTAATGTACTAGATAGCATCATCTAACATATCTATCTCATATTGATTTTCACATAGATCTCATGTGGATACACAATACAGAGTTAAACCTCCCGATAGTGTCACCTCTTATGAGTGATATACTCCCATTAGTGACATGAAAGTGTGGAACCATTAGTATCTAACGTTTAAATCTGTTCAATAAGAACCGTACGTCACTATCGGCAATAGTGACATGAGAAGATTCAATAGTGACATGGTGGAGCTTTAATGACTATAATAATTATCGAAAGTATCCGTTCATAACTTCCGGATTTAGAATTTCTTTTTTCTATGCTACCAGTGAGGTTGAATCATGATTGTAACTATATTATGAGAAGATTGAATGCGTCAGATGTTAATTGCTCTGGTTACCATCTGCTACTTTTTCTTGACAGACATCAATTATGTCTAACAAGACAGTTCCCAGAAATACGTGGATGTTTTGATTTTATGCTCGGAGCATAAGTTAAGGAAGTTTGCTTTGAATTTTGCAATGAAACATATCTTACCAAAATTGATATCATTTTGCACATCATTTGTACAAAGGTTGTTCCAGGGTGGCGTTAGTGCTTAGTGTGATCCAAACCCTTTGCATTGAGATATTCTGAGTCATATAAGGTACAAATTGAAAAAATACAATTTCGACTAGAATTTTGGGCTTTTCAACCAGTTCAAATTTATGAATCATATAAGGAAAAAATAGAAAAATAGAAAAATTCAATTTTGACAATTGATATTCATGTTGATTATAACCACCATTCATTGTAATCTAGAGAGTTTTGCAAAATTGTGCAAAATTAACCAAGCCAAATAGTTACTAATATATCTCAAATGAGAAAAATTGCTTCTCGATTTAGCCATGTAATTCTTTGAGTAGTAAAAATCTTCTATATGTAGTAGAGTACAAAAATCTTAAAAATCTTATATAGTAGAAATTTTTGATATACATGCAAGTACAAAAATCTTATGTATCGGAAATCTTCTCATCATAAACATCAAATAACTGTAATTACACTGATCATTGTTGATGTGAATTCAAATTCAAACCGCCAAATGATACTCTAAATATTTAACGGATCCGCTAAACATGCAATAAGAATGTCTCCACATTATACACTAAATATTATCCAACCTGATGTGAGGGACAACTACCAATAGTGACATACATTGGTTCTATAGTTTTATGTCACTATTGGGAGGTTTAACTCTATAGTAGTATTGTGTAGTTTGAGATTATAGTTTGTATGTTAGATGGATCAATGGATATATGCAGGCATGCTCATATTAGACAGTCGGTTGATTTATCTAAAGTAATTTGATTCATGCGCGTAAGGATTGATTACTTTAGACGAGGCACAAACTAATGCTTTGTTTAGCAAAAATAAAACACAAGAGATATACTCTGTATGGACTCAAAGTCCTCAAGGATCTGATAACCTAGTGGAACAAGATGAAATTAATTAGTTTTTTTGGCGCTGATTATCTTAATTTCCGCTAAATAAATTAATAGCGCTAATAATGTGAGATCAATAGCGCTATTAATTTATTTAGCGGAAATTTAGACAGCGAAGATTCAGATCGCCTAGGTATATGTAATCTAATATACAGTACTATACACAATAAACTGAAATGTGGGAGAGTATACATCACACGATACCTCGTAAACATATGCATATTCGTAGGTTAATACAACTCAAACCTAAATGAATAGAACAGTTCACATATGTGCACTCTATTGTTAACAACAATGACGTTTTTTCAAGAAATGTATGATCATGTCATGTAAGATTGTGTCACCGTAGGTCCCGATACAACGCCTTTGCCATTACGTCATTGTGTCCCATAACCCTAGTCTTTTGCATAATAAGAGTTATCAAACATATCTTGCTATATTAAACATCATATGGTAATTATATTCTAGCCTAAGGTTGGATGAACATTCATATGAATACACGTCGCATTTCAATGACACCACAATCGAAATGAAAGTGTGGGTGATGAAGATCGATGTGCCGCATAGAAACGAAACTAGTAGTCGTGGAGAAAACAACTTCTTCGAGTTGGAAATCCTGGGAGGATGGGAACCCCTGATTTCAGTTTTCCATATATTCCAGTGCAGTGTATGACCATGACAAGCGTTGGGTTCACTTTATTCTACTCTCATTCCCTTTCAGCTCCCTTTTCCATTTATGGCTTCTTAGCCTTGGGGCCGCATCGCCCTACGAACCACACAAAGCAGGGACAAGAGCTCGGTCCGTACCCATGGGGTACGATCTGATTTGACATCGGGAGCCGGAAACCGTTGGATAGACGATCGACGACCAACCGAAGACGCGATTTGCACACTCAGCAATTTCCCCTGCTGCTCGACTCCAACTGCGTTCAAACTGCTCTTCCGTCGTTAAGCCAGTTCTTAAATATGCGGAGATTTGGGCCGAGCGTGGAGGTCTTATGAAGCCTCGACCAGCCCGTTCTGGTGTGCTCCGGTCTCTCCCGCCTTCCTGCACCCCTCTCACAGGATCGTTGTTGATGTTGTCTGGTGCGTTGCATGATTTTGCGGCTCCGCGGCGGAATTCAGCGTCATGTGGAGTTGCGCGGACGGTAGATTGTGTGGAGATTATTTCGTTTTTCGGGAGGTTTTTTCTCGCCTCGTAGACAATCAGTAGCGAGAGCCAGAGGTTCGAGGAGGTATTTCGAAACCTTGCCTGGCTCGCGATACGGTTCTTGCCCCGCCTTCGTCGTCACGGCGTTCGCCGCGTTTCCCCCAGGAATGCTGTGGTCCCTTGTGGGTTCCGCGGCGGAATTGGGCCGAATATCTGGTGAAATTTCGAGTTGCAGACTATAGAGTTTTTGTACATATCGTTAATCTCTTCTGGAGGGTTTTTGGTGTCATCGAACCGATCAGTGGCACCGAGCGTAGCTGTCATCTGTTTCGATCCCTTTCGTCCACGTGGAGGTTCAAAGACATCGGGAACTGCTGTGATTGTTGCCAGTGATATCATCAGCAAGCGCGCGGCCCATGCATTTTGCTAGTTAGCTATGACTAGCGTCACGGATCCAAAGCAGGGACAAGGGGAACTAAGTTCTACCTCAACTACAACAACTGCCAGCAGTAGTAGCGGAGGAGGGGGCAATTCGAGACGGAGGGCACGAGATCGACGAATGATGAGTTTGGTGGAGGATTTGGGTGTATATGACAGTTCGTGTGGATACTGCAAAGCCACAAATCGGAGTTCCAGATCACAGGGTAGGAGTGTGGGATCACGTAAGGCTTTTAGGAGGTCACGTAAGCTAAAAAGCTGAGACTCTTTGAATTCCCAGCAGTTTGTAGCAGTGTGCAGTTTATGACCAACTGGCATTTAAGCATGCGGCAGATTGTGTTCGTAAATGAGGATGGCCATAGGACTTCTTCTGCCTGACTGGATACTTGTTTCTTGTGCAGGTTTGTGGGCTCACGAATTAGCCGTGCAGGACTATCAAGGTACTATGCATTGTGTAATGAGGCTCTATTGTTTGTTTGTAATTCTCTCAACTCTTTGCCACGCATGTAAGATTGTTTGTTGCTCTGCAATGCTTTTGTCCGGCATGTTCACAATGTTCCAGGAGATGACAGTGTGGACTAGCTTTGACACACTGAATATTATATCTTGTATACCTGTCGTATCTGAGTGATGGGTTTGTGGATCCGTTTTGGAAAGATAAATTCTCTACTTTTTAGAGTCCCAACGTGTTCTCTACTCTGCTCTTTCGGTTCGTTCGCATGGTGTTTGCGTCAAATAACGCGTGACAGGGAGGCACCGATATCATTTGTCCTCACTGGAGCCTTAATCTTGATCGAGACCAAATAGGTTACACGACCAACAAGTGTATCAGGCTCTCCGCATTTCAAAAACATCACCGGCTGTTTGCTTCTCATTTCTTCGGGGTTCTAAACCGTTACAGTAATTTTAGTTGAACATTCTGTTACGCTGTATATTACTCCCTCGCTTGTTCTTTCGTCGGGTGACGTCAGTTTAAGAAGAAAACTCCTGACAAACTGACATCCCCCAGGTCGTAGTTGAAGGAGAACTTCGGAAGGTAGAATCTTTGTTGCACTTGAGGATTTTCGCTGCAGAATTCAATTGTTCTTTTTCTCCTGGAACGAACAACTTATGGTTGAACAAACATTTTTCAGTGTGCTCATTTTTATCAGTACGGGGGTGTTGTCTCGTAGCAAATGCGTCACTAATTACGGAAAATAACGCCCGGGTGACTCATGGAAGTTTGTTGCATCATTGAACCAAGAATTATCTTACCGGGCAGCTTGTTTAATTAGTTTCTCAGTGCTATGAATCTCACAGTACGTTTGAGTTGTCCCGTTTGAACGCTTTAATCAGTTCACTTCTTGGAACGAGTGATTAGGTCCCGTACGTGACGGGGATACAGGGTGGTCATGACTTCTCGTGTTCAAAGTCTAAAAGTATATTGTTGTCAAGAGTTGTGAAGGAGCCTCTCCTTGGCGAAAGTTTTGGGTGCGAAATGACGTTGGTTTTTTTCGTTCCAGTCGTCGACTCCTAGCCATAATTTTTTTTGGATATACGTGGGTGCCGCCGTTTGGCTTTCGGTCATGAGGAAAAGATAGGACAGATTTGGACCAGTCAAGCAGTGTTTGATTGTCTTAACACTCCTGTTGCATTGCAATCTCGTGTTTACGATAGCCTGATATTTGATGCCCATGCTGTCTAACAGATTTACTGGATCGAGGATGGCGCCGATCGGGAATGTTCCTCTACAAACCCTGCATGAAAGAAACATGCTGTCCACCCTATACCATCAGGCTGAAAGTAGATGCATTTGTTGCTACGAAAGACCAGATACGCGTGAGGCGGCGGCTTCAGAGGTTTGTCACTTCCGTAATAGGGGAAGTTTAGTATTGCTTGATAGAAGCTTCGCCGATGGCATTCATTCCTCATTTGTGCTAAACAAGGTCTCTTGCGAAGTTTTCACCTAATCTACACACTAGATTAAGGCTTTTGCCGTGCCTTATGATTAGGCTTTATGTTGTGAAGGTACTTAGATGGAACTTATAGCGGCCCTCAGACTGTTGGAGAGCTTCACGAAGAGAAGAACGACGTTGTCGAAAGAGAAACAGGAGTACCTAGTGACTCAATCATGGCTTCCAGTTCAGACAGGAAAACTTCGAACGTGGAACAAGGTGCTGCAGGAGGACATGGATTGAGTCGTAGTGATGTCGTTGAGGCAGATCTTAGCGATGAGGAGAAACTGATTGAAAGCGTTAAATTCGCAATCAAAACATCTATTACGAAGTGTGTTGAAAAGGGTGTGCTTCCACAATCGCTGGAAGTTCCAGAGGTCGTTGTAAAGCCTATTTCACAAAAAGTCAAAGATAAGCTGAAGGTCGAAAGCAGAGCGGATTTCACAAGCAACGTTGCTTTCCCCCTTGCAGCGACTGTGAAACGGTTGAAGAAGATTGAGATTCAGGATGCCGGAAAGTCGAACTTGCAGCAGGGAAGTATACTTGTTCTGACACCTCAAGAAATAGCTGAAAATCTTGTCATCGTCTTGTCAGAGTTATTCCTTCCAGGCGTGGCAATCGTGACCGCAAGTAATGGTTATTTAAACTTTTTATTATCAGACGTGAAAATGTCGAGTCCGAAGTATCTGGTAGGAGAGAAGCAAGTTAATCAGTCAGTCCATGTCACTACTAGCGAGCAACTCTTAGAATTAATGAAACCTGCAGCCCCGGGGTTTACTCGTAAGCTGGAGATACGAATGGCGAGGTCGTCATTCGACGCTGAGGAGTTTGCTCTTTACAAAAAATATCAAATAGCAGTGCACAATGACCGTCCAGAGGGTGTGAGAGAGAGTCATTACAAACAGTTTCTGGTAGATACTCCTCTAGTGTTTATACCACCAGCAAATAATGGAACCACTCCATCCTGCGGTTACGGCTCGTTTCATCAGCAGTATCGTGTAGACGGGAAGCTGGTTGCTGTTGGTGTGATAGATATTCTGCCTCACTGTCTCTCAAGCAAGTATCTCTTCTGGGATCCAGACTTCGCATTTTTGTCTCTTGGAAAGTACTCCGCTCTGCAAGAGATCGAATGGGTACAGAAGGAGCAAAGACTATGTCCAACGTTTCAATACTATTACCTTGGATTCTATATTCATTCTTGTCCCAAGATGCGCTACAAGGCTGCCTACTACCCATCGGAGCTTCTCTGTCCGGAGCGGTACAGGTGTGTCAGCTCTAGCTTCACATTCTGGAGAGACTTTGCAATGCTCCTCTTCAACATTTTTCCTTGATTTTCTTGGCCATGCAGTGGATAGATCAAGCAGAATGCAGTAAGCGAGTGTGTTGAAGCGTAGGCTAAGACCGCAGTCTATGTTTTCCCGCAGGTGGGTGTCGTACGAGGTGGCTCGACCCCTATTGGACAAGCAGTCCTACGTTTGTTTGTCAGACTTTGGAACCAGCACTAGTGCTTCAGAAGGTTCTAGTATTCCAGGTAAGACCAGAGGGGATGCAGAAGCAGCTGCAAGGGATGACATTACTGGACGTCAAGGCAATTCTGGGGAAGTTTACGAGGCCAGTGATGAGCCTGTTAATTGGGAAGAAAGGAGGCACGTCGCTGCGGATGATGGTGCACAATCCGCTCTGGACAGACTTGGACTGGTGGGCGATATATCCGTCTTCCTTGCAGGAAGCGTTATACCATTTAAGGTACCTTTTTTTCAACTTACCATACAAGTGAACTCAACAAAGAATGGAATTATATGTCGTTGATAATGAAATTCGTTGATCGGTACACAAAACTGAAGATATGCGATGTTCAAGTTCAATATAGCAGCAAAAGGAGATGTAACCTTTTATTTTAGTTCGTGAGTTTTTCAGTTGTTTTGTCGTCGTCTATCGGTGAGAGTATTGATTTTGTTGGTCTTCTGGCAGCAACTGCGTGCGAGCACGACGATGCCAAGACAGCATCTGGATAAAATAGCTACGAGTTTACGCATTTATCTGCACAATGTCGGACCAAGAGTAGCAACTCGTATGGCTTACGCTGTGTATGAGGGCCAGGACTAGTTTGGTCATTTCATTACACGTAATAATGCACTTGAATGTCCTAGCGCCGCGTCCATTTTCCCACATTGGGAAAGCAGATGAGTATTGTATAAGTAAGCCTTTTGGTCACAAGCATTTGCTATCTTTCTACCTCCGACCATCTTGGTTTTCCGTTTTACCCTCGGGGACGAAAACCTTGTTCGCAAAAGAGTTATGCTGGCTGCTCCGCAACCCGAGATCTACCCTTTATGTTGCTTATGGTGAGAGGTGGGAGCATGTTCTCTCTTTGATATGCTATTTACGGGTCCATTTAGCCGAAATTTGTACATTTTGTATCGAAATCCAAGTTTCACTTCGATTTTTTCAACTTTACACCACGATTCTTATGTAAGGAAATGACCTCGGATTAGTAGGTATTGTCCATTTGGGTGCACTGGTAATTTTCAAAAATTGCAATGTACATGCTGCTTCTCCCGCATTGGCGATTTGCCTTCGAAAGTGGCACTAGTTTTCCACTATTTCCAAATTGCTTGATATTTTGTTTGAATTACAAACATATGTGAACATGATTCCCTCCCCCCCTCCTCCCCAAAAGTGACCTATATATGTGCTTCTTCACCGCCATAAGTATATGTGAAATGTGCATGACATTCCACCCATGGTTTTTCTCGATGATTCCTCCTCTTGGGCAAGAGACAATTCGAGTGTTTTGGGATTTATCGTCACTTCGTCAGCATAATTTGCAGCATTCGATGTTAATGCGACTATTGAAAATATGGCAGTTGTTTTCACTTTACAAAATTCCGATCTTCTTTCGTTACTTCTTATCTGAGAAGGCAGTGGAGTATCTAGCAAGATGTACTTGTTATAAAGATTCGACTCTCTTTGTAACAATCACATGTCCTAAAGGGATTTTGACCACTTCCTTAACAGCAAAGTTTCCATCTCTATTAGTTAACAGGGCGGAAACCGATATATTCGACAGCCGAAAAATGCCTCATTTCGCACGGCTGCATCGCACACACCGTCACGGGAAGTGTTTCACAGGCTGTTGCGGGGCCTGCTTATGAGTAGTTTGGTCCAAATCCCAACATCCCTTCAATGAACAGACAAATATATATAGCCTTGCACATTTACGGCGTGGCCTGGAGACAGCAAGCAATTATCTCACTCCCGTTAGAACAAAGAACAGGCTCGTCTTGGGTATAGGACTCAGGCACCGTGATCGGCAATGAGCTGCCTTGGTCGTCAATATTTACAATTCAGAGACGCTTACACACTAATCACAGGCTAACTCCTTGAGTGCTTGAAAATCCGACATGGCGTGAAAGGTGCCAGTAAAGTGAGCGACCTGCGAACTTCGCACTGCCCAAGTGAGGAGATAGAGACGGCGGAACAAAGACAGGAAAGAAATGCGAAGAGGCGAGACGGTGGCATCGGCCTCTCTAAAGGAAGCACCAGTTGAAGGTGAAGCAACACCACACCCTCACCGGATTCAAAATGCAAAAACGGATCCAATTGCAAAAGCGGGAGCGTTCTCTAACCCAGGCAGCAACATGTGGTCCTGGCTGACTGGGATCAATGCCTTCGCAGCAACCTTTGAAGAACTTTCATCAAAGCCCTCGACTCAGTTCCATAGAATCCTATCCAATCCAGTTCGAATCGTTAAGGCCTGACAAAGAATGCTCTGGCGAACTCGAATCGCCTCGGAAGTGGCGGCACACAACCGGACGGCGTAGGGAATATAAACATGTACAGTGCAGGTGATACTACCTGACTTTGAATTCCATCGCCCCTAGTCCCCCAGCGTGCAATGGTTCACACGTGGGCCTTTCCGCCTTCCTTCCAACACCAATTTCTCGAACAAAGGCTTGACTCAAAAACAAAATCGGAACAAAATTCCAGGGTGTAAGAGGACAGAGCTCTGAGCAGAGAAAGCGAACAACAAAGGTCAGACTCATCGAATAACCACCCTCCATGACCAATTTGGGCACACACTGAATGTAGAACATCTCCTCAGGACACTATGGGGACGTACTTCATGCGTCCTTTGAACCCAGAATTTCATGCCGGATTCACAGGCGGTCAGCAAGAATCGACTGAGCATCTTTCGATCGATACGGAGAGTGCAATTCACCTCAACGAAATAGAAAGGTCAGCGGAGTAAAAGAAAGACTGGGAACTGCTACACTCCAGACGGTAAAGGAAGTCAAGCTCGCAGATTTTGCACTGGAATGGCTGCTGATGACCCCAGGGATGAGGAGTCTGAGTTCGACACGTAAGCTGCTCGCTTCTAAAAATTACTGCCCTCAGTGTTACACCTAAATCTAAAAGGTGACCAATCGGCATCTCCAGAGAGAGCTACGTGAGGCTTCAGAAAGCCATGCGTGTCGGTGCCGAAGACAGCAACAAATCTCGTGACAAAACACGAGGCTAAACTCCAAGCATGGAGAAAAAGGACTGCTATACAACAAGACTCGGTCCACTCGTGCGCCCCCCAATGTCACATGCTAAGGTTAAGCGGCGGTGCGAAAACGTTGTCATCCCTGGGCGGATTGGAAGTTGACCACGTTGAGGTTGGTTTCTTTGCAAACGTGTGCACATCCGAACGAGATGAACTGACGGTCACTTACCTCCTTCCCACCGTAACCCCCACCCCACCAGAAAAAAAAAAAGCCAAAAGAAACGACCCTCCCACTCTGAAAAGCACAGTCTGCATCCCTCCCTCCATGGTATACAGAATCAACGCCGTCCCGCCTTCCCTCCTTGCACAAACAGGAACCAAGCGGAAGAACTCGAACGGGAAGAAAAAATGAGCTTCAAAACGGGACACAAAGCGACGATTCAGCACGCCTCGTGCGACGCTATGGCGAAATCGAGAGCGAGAGCGCGAGAGGACCGGACACCGCAAGGAGGTCGAAAAATGAATCGAACGAGAGTTTCGGCACACCTGAGAAAAGAAATCCATTAAGGATCTGTGCAAAATAAGCTTGCGCGCGGTGAAGGGCCACACTTTCAAGAACGAGAGCAAGACAGGGAGAGAGAGAGAGAATGCGAGGGAGGGAGCGGGGTGCGGAAACGGAACCGTTGCTCAGCTCCAAAGCGTGAACTTTACGACACGCGAGCGAGCAAAACGAAGCGCGCTCCGGCCACCGGCGGCGAAGAGGTTTCGTTTCAAAGTGGCCGACGAGAGGGCGTGGAGTAGCAGTACCAGTGGCAGTGGCGGCAGGAAGGAGCAATAAAGAAAACAGAACCTTCAGCCAAGTGGATAAAAGATCCTCGCCCGCCTCGAAAGAGCGAAGTCGAGGAAAGTGTACTCGTCCCCGCGGCGCGTGAGTCCTACCGCGGCTGCGGAACCCCCTGGCCATGACCAGGACACAGCGTGGCAGCCCTACTTGCGTAGCGGTAGATTTGGGAATCAGGCCCTCCGAGGGACAGTGTAAAACGTGCCGGATCAGGGTGCTCGCTATTTCTCCTCTGGTCACACGGAGTCACGGAGCTGACCCTCAACTTTGGGCATTGACTTCTTTTCGTACATGCGGCGAGTGACTTCGCATGAGACTGTCCGTCCTTGACTCTGAGTACAGTAGTGGAGGGACTCAAGGGCTTCACCGTCCCTCCGAAGGGACAGTGATGGTGCTCTATAGGGCACGCGAAGGAACAAGGAGATGAGGGGCATGATGGTCCGGGGAAGCGTCTCTTAATTAATTCTCTCTCTCTCTCTCCCCAAAATCAAATGGCAGATCTTCCAGTATTCAGTCACACTGGGTTTTATGACCAACTGTCACCAAATTATCATATGTGGAGAAATGTACAGCTCAAGGAAAACTCCTCGTATGTTTCCAAAGAAAAACAATATTGTTTTAGCCAACCTTCCGAGTAGCTTGCAAGCCATATGAAGAAAGGGATGCAACCTCAAGGGTAACTCGTAGTAAGTCCTGCACATAATACTAAGAAGGTTTGAGCCAATTTTGGACTCAGCGTTTGAAACTGAATATTCTTGCCAAGTTATGGTTCACCTTTCGAAAGGATCCACACATAATCACCATGGCTTTGACACCATGATAAGTACACAACCTTACTAAAACACTCGAATGAACAAGAACACACATTCCTCATCATCCACAAGAAGGTCAGGAAGCATTAAACTCTATTGGGACTTGAACTGTGCACTTGGAGTTCAACCCCACCAATGGGATCATTTCTTCCTCATTACTGTATTGAGTTCCGTGTAAGCTCATTATCTTACGCCAATATGTTGGGAGAAGGTGCAGTGTCACATAAAGCTATTGATTATCATGTGAGTAATTTTCTTATTTTATTTCTACTTATATGAAGTATGAAACCTATTCAATGAACAATATGTATAACATAATTTTTGTAAAAATTATAATGTTATATTTAGATTTTGAACAAAAATGTGAATTAATTTATTTAAGTTTTATTTAAATTTTTAATATATATTAAATCCACAAATTTAATATTATTTAAAATAAATAAATAAATAAATAAGAATAAAATTTTTAGTTTAATTTCTTCTTGCATTTAACTTGCTACTCAGGTAGATGATATCTTCTCATACATCATTTTTTTTTAAATTTGTGCAAAAATCTGCAATTTAGCTTTGGTTCTAGAAAAGGATAATGAAATCTATGATTTTTTAACGTTATATTGAGATGTTAAGCACAAATTTACACTCACAATTCACCAAATCAACATGAGTTTCCAACACAAAACCTCAGCCGACATTGGACATACGTAATTCACCATTATCGGCTACATTCACCGAAACACCTTAGGCTTTAGGGGAATAAAATCCTCAAAAATGTCATTGAAAACTTTTGTGATATTTTTAATTTAGTGGCAGAGTAATCAAGATAAATGATTAGAATTATCATAATTTTATTAAACTCAAGACTTTAAAACAGTAAGACAGTCACTAGTCAAATCTGGATTCACTAGAAAGTTTTGATTTGTAATAGGTTGGGATTGTGTTTAGAATAATATTTAAAAAAAAATATTTGCAGAATTCATAACATCTAAATTTGAAATAAAACAGTAAATTCGAATCTGATAACAATAGTATTGAAAGCTGACAATCACAAAATCTAAATAAGATTTAAAGGAGCTTTGTAATCAAACAATTATAGCTGTTTCAATAAAATAAATTCTTATTTATCTCTTCACACATGCGAAGAGAAATTATCTTCAGTAAAGATTATTTTAATATGCATTAAAAATTATCTCCTTTTTTTTTCTTTGTTATTTCGCCCCATTTTTGTTAGACAGTCTCTGGCCTTTTGTAATTTGGAAATTTTGTATCATTTTTGACACATCACAAAAGATTTTTTGATATTTTATATGGCTGGCAATTTAGAAATTATTTCTTTTAAAAATTAAATTATTTTCCCCAATTTTGAAAAAATAATATTTCCTGATAATGATTTACTTTAAATTAATAATTATAACACGTCCAAATTTTTTTGAATGAGACTAGTGTGAAATGTTAGTTCACATAAATAATCATCTCCATGATAGATGAGTTGATGTCAATTGAAGAAATTGATGTATCATTGAAACTGAATATATAATCAATAAACATAATTAGAATTTGTCACCAATATCTAATTCACTCAGATTACAATTTTATATTTCAACACATTACTCTTCAGGATAGAAAATTTGGACATCCAAAACTTTGTCAAAAGTCAAATATGCATGTATGATAGAAATAAGTATAAATGCTTCTTATATGAATGATGAATGAAACGTATGTTCACAAATTACTTTCAGAAATAAGATGTGATCTAATCTGGATTAGTTTCTGTTAAACACTAAGACTCATTGTTACATGCTTTGTGATTTAAGATGATACTGCTGTATATCGTTTTGCCATTGCATCTCATTCTGTTTCACCCAACACAAATGAACAGAAGTAGTATAAGCACTATAGAGATTCGACTCTTGATTTAGTAGCCTACATTTTTCATACTTAGTGGTGAAATTTGGAACTTTGACCGGTTTACAGAATGAAACCTTGGAACTTTTTTGGTTTCAAGGATCGAAATTATTCAAAGTAAGTTGTGATATTAAGAATTAAAAAATTGAATATCAAGCATTCCGAATCATCTTCTGGTGAGTTGACTTCGGTACTTGTTCATTAATCCAGAAGCCGTTTTTTCTCAGAGAAAGTCTCCTCGTTAAGTGAAAAGACAGCCAGACTTTTTGTGGTTACGAAGCCTCAATAACATTTTTCACCGAAGAGAAGAATAGAGGTCGAACCAAAGAGGAAACTGGACACTGTTTTATCCCAACGAGACTTGGAACCGTACTTTGGCGCCATGTAATGATACACAATAAAGTCATGCAGTCTAACTCCGAAACACTCGAAACCTTTGGATTATTCCAAAGGTTGACTCGACTGAAACCTGTTAATTGCGAGATATTTGTCGTCCCTAAGGTTGTTTACATCCACATTTGATTGAGGAACAGTGCGAGAAAATCTGCTTGTACGTTATCTTGTTTCGTTGCAGTGTCTTCTGTTTGACCGAGGTTGCTTCCGATTAGGATAAAGCTGGAACTGCGGGATGTTCATGGGGGCGGGGGCGGGGGGGTTGGGGGGGGACTAAGAGCTGCGAAAAGCAAAGTGGAGTTCGTTCGGCTGTGCCGCCGTAGGGTTCTTCCCGTCTATCGCCGTCTGTCCTGTACAGGGGACTGGAAAGGGGCATCTCGCCGGCGTCTCCTCGCTCATCTCCAATCATAAGATTTACGCTCAGATATATTCCTCCGAGTGCTCTTGTGACACACTACCCCAACACAACAGCCCTGCCCCGGGCCGGCCCAGCCCAGCCCAGCTCAGCTCAGCGCAAATCAGCCGAGTCTTGGCATTTCCTTTTGAGTTTTGACTCGAGCCCATGGATTTGATGGAGAGCTCTCTGTTTATTTTGGAGCTTTTGATAAAGAGAAGGATAGAGAAAAGTCTGTACAGCTGTTTGGGCATCTGATCTGGCATCTGCCCATTTCTGCTCGTTTCATATTTTGGATTTGCAGCTCGTCGCGGCCCCCCTCGCCTCCCCTCGCCTTGTCCCTTCGGCTGCCCCTTCGAGACTCTACAATTCCCCTTCACGCGCAACGAGTCTACAGTTGTAATATTCCCGGCGAATGCCATTATGCCTTTGCACCGTCTCGAGATGATGGCGACATGGCAAGATGCCAAACGTTTCGGGAGGAACCGTTACGAAGTTTGTGGAATGAATCCACCGAATGATTGACTGCATGAAAGGACCTCAAGCTCAAGTGTCTACTGGCCGCAAGAAACTTAACTCACGTGGCCATCCATGGGAGTTGGCTCGAGGCTGGCATGAATTTCTTCGAACCAGGAGGAGGAGGAGGAGGAGGAGATGGAGATAGATAGAGAGATAGAGAGATGGGGTGTAGCAGTGGTTGTGGTAGGGGGGTCGTGGACAGTTCGGGCCGTCAAGTACGTCTAGGGCTTTGCGGTGATCGGGACGAATCGTAGACGACTAGAGGAGAGATCGTTCGTTGGTTGACAAGAACAGTTCCACCACCAACAACATCCTCCGAGGCATCATGTATCGTCCAGTTCAGTTCGTTTTGACTATTTCCCACTTTAGAAAATTAACGAACAAAAAGTCGTTGCGCGCTCTCTTTTCCCCTCTTCCTCTCCCTCTCCCACTCTGATCGATGACCTGTCAAATTTGAATCGTTAGTTCCGAGGAAATCTGCTGGAGCTCTCGTCCCAAGAAGCGCCAAATGTACAACAGCACACAGTTTCATGGAAGGTTTGGCCGTGGGTCCAGGGCAGTGACGCAGACCTTTCACAGCCACTCGATTAGACTCGAGTGACAACAAAAAGACCCAGTTTCCGAGGACTCTGATCTAATTCCCGAGATGGAACGGAGGAAACCCTTCTCCTTCAGCCGAAAGTCACCTTTTTAATCTTCCATTCTCAGGTTCCAAGCAGTAAGGTTCTTCTTCTTCTTCTTCCTGGTACGCTTTATGAGCACCATCTTCAACCTCTCGACACCACCTTGAACTTTTTAGAATGCAGCGTAGGAATTTGCACTTAGCCTTCGTTGTCTTCCGGCCCATCTACAAGAAACCCTCGAACTGGTTTCCAGTATTTCCGATGCGAATTTTTCATTGCCTTTAACCAGAGAGGTATAGTTTTCATGGCCTTGGGAACTTCCAGCAGCAGGTGATGAATAATGTCGGTGAGACAAATTGACTTGATCTGCTTACAAAGAAGGACAAGCACGTCAAGACATTAGACTCTTGGGCTGCCAGCACTGCGATCTCGTTTTTAATGAATTGCAACCGTTAGATTTCCTCCAACCGGAAAGGAAAT